TTTGCATCGGCAGGAAACAGGGCTGTGCCCTTTTCTGTCCCACAGATCGGATGCCTCTCTAGTTTTCATATGGTATGTGTTTATCTTATAAAGTTCAATTCCCCTGACTCAGTCTCTTAGCTTCTAGTAGAAAATCTCCTTGGGACAAACCCTGATGTGGCGCAAGACCACTGGCTGGCCATGGAGGTACCTGCAGCATCACAGGCTGCCTGGGTAATCCCAGACAAATGGCTTGGTCCACCCCTGCGCCCCTTCAGCTTTGAGAAGAGCAATAAGGCCATTTTGAGTATTCTGGTGTGGAGAAGTGGGATAACATGGTAAGTACAGCCAGGCACAGACTTATGAAAGGACTCAAGCACTAGCAAAATTAGATATCTGAGAATATATGTGGGAATTGCTGCCTTGGATCTGGGAGCTGAATGTCCACCTCAATCCTTCTGCAAGAACTTGAGTTTTACCAGGGAGCAGCAGTGGCAGAGTGGGCTGCCACATATGCCTAGGAGTGCCGAACAACTCGGGCTTATCCCAGCTCAGCTCAGCCTCCAGCGAGGCTCTGTCTGCTTCCTCCATGAGGGCTGATTTCTCAGCCAGCTTGGTGTGGGATGAGTTAATTGCAATAGTCACTAGAAGTGACAGTCTGAGGTGCTTAACTCTCAACCTGCAGTGTGATGGGAATCAGGGCACTGAGATTTAGAGCCTGGTTTCCACTCTGGACTCACATTTCCAAAAAATCAATGTCCTCTCACTCAGCATCTCTGTGCCATCGTCTCACTGAGGACATGACTGTGCTGCAAGGATGGATGGCTGTCCAGGATCAGGGAGAGCTGTGAGACTCCCAGCTGGAATGGAGAGGTAGGAGGGCTGCTTCTTATTTAGCTTAGCATCTGTTCAGGAGCATGAATGTATGCCTCACCTTTGTGTAAATACTTAGCCTTTGGGCTGATTCAGGAGAAATTAGTTCAGACAGCCCTTTTAACATTTTTGTGCAAAATAAGAGCTTTAAAGAAGTCTCAACTTTCTTTTTAAATTCCTTGTTTATATCATATCATATCGTATCGTATTTCTCCTTTTTGATACACCTTTAAAATTAATGGCAGCAGTGACCAGCAGTGAAATCATAGCTGTTGGCTGATTGGATTTGTTTGAATTGTTGTGGAAAGGCAGGTAATAATTGCCAGGCGACTCTAGGCCTGCGGAGCATCCAGGCATTTGTTTGAATTGGCCGTGCTCTTTGTCCACAGTGTTTACACAAATCCAACAGCAGCTTGTCCCTGCTCTCTGTATTCCTGTCTGTACTCCTTTTGTTCTCAGGGATTGAAATCTCTCTCTTTGCAGGAGCCTGAAGAGCTCAGCCTGGCTGAGTTTCACCATGCAGTGCCTGCCTGCAGGGCTGGGGATTGGGTCTAGCACTGCAGGGGAAGGGCTGCTATTTAGGAGACCAGTCAAACTATGTAACATCATCAGAACCTACAAAATACCCTCACACTTGAGCGTCTGGGACATCTTTGTCTTTTGTTTGAGCCTGTAACCCAAGGTGCAGTCCTGAGATGAGAAACAGCAGTACTAACTTGAATCTTTGCAAATGTCCTGCAGAATGTGTAAGCCCGTGTTTGAGTTAATGCACACGTGGGCTTCCCACACACTGATACATCAAGGCAGTCCAGTTTCTGCTTTTATGGAGTCAAGTGTAATGTAGTTTATTCAACTTTATATGTCACAACACAAATATTGATTAAATATGTTAGTAAGGAGTGGGTTTACTTTCTAATTCTAGAGGGGGACCTTTAAAGAGCTAGTCGACCTCCCTGCCATTGGTAGGGACATCTTTTACTAGATTGAGGTGGATGCTAATGCAGGATGTTGATCTTAAACCTGATTGCTGTGAATGCAAATTTATCTTGCTCAGAAAGGACTTGACTGTCTAACAGATTCCTGAGAGGGTCAGCTTTTAGGTGCAGAATTCAAGAAGGGGAAATACCATGATACCAAGAAAAAAAAAAAAAAAAAAAAAAAAAAGAAAGAAAAGGAAAGGAAAAAAGCAAGCACAGAAATGTAACTCTTCAAAGAGAGATGAGGGTACCATCCATCACCATCATCTGCTGGCCTGGACAACATCCTGATGTCCTTCACCAGCTCTGACTGTTATGTCTATAATGATTAAAAACTGGATGTGTGACAGGCTATGGCAAAGGGACTTGTTGACTGGAAATCTGTTCACATTCAGGAACCATGCCAGGAATCATTTTAGGTAGTCTGTCTGTCTGTGGGTTTCGATGCTCTCCAGCTGTGTGTCTGTTAGTCATAAACATGTTTTCTCCTCTTTCCTATTAGCGTGGCAGAGAAAGCATTAATGTGCGGGATGGGATGGGAATGTGTATTGACTGTGCAAGCAAAAAAAATGGCAAAACTGACCTTCTTTAACAGCTGCTTGCAGTGACCTCGGACAGTGCTTATTGTTAGCATGGGTACAAAGTTTATAGACAGAGCTGGCAAACTTTTGTTTGGTTTTGCTATCTCTGATTTTCATATAAAATGCAGCATCTTTTAAAGAGAAAGTTGAGTTGAAGGACCTAGGTTTTACAAATTGGTTCACAATACTACTTTCTATTTTTTTTCTGCAGAGTAGAAATGGCACATTGTGGTCCAGCCCAGCCCTGGGGGAAAGAGGGCCTTTCCCAGGGGAGTTTCATGTCCCCATGTGAGGAAGGGCAGCTGTACCCTGCTGTGGAAGCTGTGCCCCACTCACCTGTTAGCTCCCACGCTGCCACCTGAACACCACTGGGCTTGCTGTGCACTGCCCTGAGCGGCTTTGGTGTGGGTGGCCTGGCTGGGCCACAGTGAAAGTCAGACATAAATAATGGAGAGGCATGAATTTCCTCATCTCCCACAGGAAATTAAATCTCTGTGGTCAAGAAACACATGGTTGCTGTGGTGCTAGTGAGCTGGATGTAGAGCCTGAGCACGTGTTTTCACATGGGAGCATCATACTCTGGAGAAGCAGTGAGCCACTCCTCTGTCTTCCTTGGCTTTTTATATGTATAAGTAGAATTAAAAAAAAAAAAAAACAAACAAAAAAAAACAAAACGAAAAAACAAAACAAACAAAAAAGAAGCCAATACGCAAAACTCTTGTGATCATTGAAGTCTTGAGGAGTTTTCAAGCCAAGAAAATACACTAACTTTTATGAAAGATGAAAAACCAGAGCTCACCACAGCCTTTTGAAAAGTTCAGTGCTCTGTGCTGCTTGGGAAAAGCATAATCAGTAAAACTACTTTAAAAAAAAATTACTGCAAAACCATGTTACTCAGTCTGTGAAAACAAATAAGGGAGCTTCACCTGGCCAGCCCAAGAATTCTATCTGTAGAGCAGTCATCCCTGCAACCAGCAGCTGGGCTTTCCTCGGTGGTGCTTATTTTCAAACATAAAAAGGGGGTGAGCACAAACAATAACTGGGAGAGGTGCAGAAGCTCAGAAGACCTGTTTTCTTTTTTGGGGTGTGGGGGGGAGGGGGCTGAGAGCTACCTGAATCATGCAAAATAAAAGCATAGCTCTACTGTCACGGCTTGTTTTGAGGGCCTTGTTTCACAGTTCCCTGGAAATGGTAACGGAGGAGGGCACAGCAATGAACAGCCCAAGCGATGTGAGAAGTGGTTAGAGCTCGATGTGGTGCGGGCCGTGCCCCCGCAGTACCTGCTGTGCCTGCTCCCAGGAGCAGCAGTGCCCGCGGCCGCTGCCTCTCGGGTGCGAGTCAACAGCCGTGGGGGACAGCCCAGGGACAGACGCAGGGGACAATTGCTGCTCTGAGGGTCCTGTGGGCCAGCACTCGGGCTCTGCAGTGTATATAATCCTCCTGAGGCATCCGGGCTTTGCTTGTAGCACTCTTACTCTCAGTAGGTTTGTTTCCCATGTTCAACCCATGCAAGTGCTTGGTGTTTGAGTTAAAAACCCTTGAAACATGGAGGATGGGGTGAGTGCATTCTTGCAATAAATGGAGGAGCTGCAAGTTAAAGAGGAGTTTAATTGATGTTTACTAGATAGTTTGCTCTAATAGATGGGAAAATAAGCCATGTCCCAGGCCTGATTTTTTTCCACTTACACAGGTATAAATTAGAAGCAACAGTGTTGAATTAAATGTGGTGAAAGAACCACACATGGGAGGTGAAGTGAGCAAAGCTGCTCTCCCAGAGCTTGTCATCTGTCCATTCTGCACCAAGCCCCAGGAGAGCTTGTGCAGCTGGTATGTTTGTATTTGCTTGTACAGGAGGTTATGGATAGATGAGGTTGCTAGAAATTAAAGATTTCGCATGGAGAGCTGATCTCGTCTCTGTCTCTGTCTGCATCACCTGGGGTGAATGAGGGAAACTTGGCTTTATTCTTTTTCCCTGCTGCCTGAATGTGAAGTTCAGGGATGGTGCTGTTTAACTGCTGTGATGCTTCTTCTTTCCCAAATCAGTATATTTGCTGTACACACTCAAAAATAACCTGAAGAGCCTGTGTTTATTTTGCTCACTCCTGTTGTCCTAAACTGGTGTAAGCTTTCAATAAAAGGCTGAAGTTTTAGCCACCCAAGAAAGGTTGGTCCATCTGCCTCCTGCCACATGCACATGGATGTTGGGGGCTTGAAAAGAGGCTGTAGATCTCTCCTTGTGTGGCTGGCACGTGTGTTACTGCTGCCACCAGGCACTCAGCCTGAGGGCTGTCCCACTGAGCAGAGCGAGGACCTGCAGCTTCGACAGCTGAGCCTGCCCCTGAGGTGTGCTGCTCTCTGCATCCGAGCTGACGCACCCCGGCAGCGCTGTGCCGGGCAGAAGGGATGTTTGGATGTTCTTGATGTGCCAGGCTGTCAGTGCACACACCTAGCCTGCACCCGCCGGGACAGCACAGGGCCCCGCATGCAAACTGCCGGCAATGGCCGAGGACCACCCGACTGCAGGGCTGAGGTCCCCCCCATGAACTCCCTCCTCCCCTAACACCCTGCTATCCCCTTTGTGCTTTCCCAGACCGCTGCCTGCCCATGGCCAATGAGCCCACCTCCCCCAAGAAGGCGAAGAGCATCCCCGAGCGCCGTGACTTGGAGAGCTGGTTCTCGCCCCCTTCCCCCGAATGGGCCACAGTGAGGATCATCCCTGAGGAGGAGATGACCGAGCACAACCTTCTTGCTATCCGAGTCATGGTCACCAGTGATACAAGCAGGTACTTTAAAATGCAAGTAAGCCTATAAAAAAACCCATAAGAACTGCTTGGTTTTCTCTGCAACACTGAGGAAAAATATAACAAAATACAGTACTGAATGTACGTACAACTCGGGGGGAAGAAAAAGACAAACTGCTCAGAATAACAATTGTTCTTTACCGCAGCCATAAATCCCCCAGACACATGACTCACTTTGCAGGAAATCTTCAACATTCACATCCCACACAGGGGCCTGAATCAGAGAGAAAAACATTGCTCTGATCAGCCCGGGTTCAGCTCTTTGTGTACCAAAAAATGTCTGTTCAGGGATTAGGGCAGTGGGTGTGTTGTGGCAAAAGGTGCATCCTGTGATATGGCCACCTCCCACCATGCACATCATCCTGCAGCTCTGCATCTTGGGCCTCTTCCGGGGAGTTTGGGGGCCTGACCACCCCTAAGAAATCTGAAATTTGATGATCCTTCAGAAGCTGTCAGAGGAAGCCCAATTTCTGTGTACAAATTAGAATACATTGGCTTTCTGGGCAGGATTCTGTGAGAGTTTATGCTGTCTAAAGTTTAGATTGTATCTTCAGTGTAAAGCAGTTTTCCCTACTGAGAACTAAAATAGAAGAGGGGGAGGGGAAAAAAAAAAAAAAAGGCAAAGCCAACTGTTGCAAACACAGAGCTAGTGCTCTGTAAGGAGGCTCATTCAAATTCTTGACGTCCTTTAAACACCTATTCATGGGGCTGTGTGTAGCTCGTGGAGAGCAACGTTTTTGGAAATGCAACTTTCTGCTCTTCCCTGCGGTGGTTTTAAATGGTGTTTGTGCTCTGCTGCATGGGTCTGGGTGCTCTTCTGGGAAAGGATGAACCTCTGTGGGGTTCCTCTCCCACAGGGGACAGAGAGCTCGGGGAATGGTTTCTTACCTGTTTGACAGACCCCCTGAGGAGTGTGTGTTGTATCCCCCACTAATACCCTCCGGCTCATGGTGCCCCTGCGGCGCCCAAGCAGCGATGAGAGCCAGCTAATCCCTCTGATCTGAGGGATCAGGTCCCTTCTCTGCGGCAGCCCCGTGGCTGGCTGGCGAGGCCCCTGGTTCCCTGCCAGCGGGACGTGGCGTGGGGGGCGATGCTGCATCTGTCACTGGCGTGTCTGGTGCCGGCAGCACTGCGGTCAACCTCCCGCTGCTGCGGCTGCTCAGGCAGGCCAGCCCCTGACTAAAAAGGGGGGATGAGAGAAATAGCAAGTGACAAATGGCACTGCTGAGATGTCTGCAGGGCAGTCGGTGGGACAGGGAACATGACCAGCGCGGTGACACAGCTTTGCAGTTCAGGCTTTCGGTACTTGTGAATAATGACCACCTAGCAAGCAGAGATCAGAGGAGAAGCTTCGTACTATAACACTTACATCCTTGCAAGCCAAGGAAAATAAATATTTTGCTCTTTAAAACAGAAATATATCAATCAATGTTAATGGCATGTCTTTTTCTTTTTCTTTTGTGTGGCACTCTGCCCAATCTCAGTGTGGGATTTCTCCATCCACACAGCATCTCAGCTATCAAAGACTTCGTGTATTTATATCTTTTTTATGTATCTCTATGCTTGACACAGCTTGAAAGACACCTAAAAAGTATGTGTTAGAGGTGAAATTTAAGGCCACTCTGGTTCAGCCTACTGAGAGAGCAACACATCTGGAGCTGTGCTCCCATCCTTGGTGCCTTGCTGGCCCCAGTCTCCCAGCACTGCTGGTTTGATCTGGGCAAAGCAGGGGTGCAGGACTGACAGGCAGTACCCATACAGCATTTACCCTGACTTTATACTGTCTGTAGCCTGTCCTTTAGCTTTTCTTCCTCCTGCCTCCTGAGATATGCCTTGGGCTGTTACAATAAATCATTATTTTCTATAAGACAGTGCTGTATAAACACAAAACAGCTTTCTCCTGCCACGCCAACAGGACTATTCATGGTGAAAACTCCTCTTTTTTAAGGTAAAGCTATTAATCACTGCAATAAATCTATTAATTGGGTTACAAGTATTGTTTGCATTAAAAATAGGCCAAGTGGGATGGCGGTACGCTTATTTATGGCAGTGGGAATGTAGTCACATCAGAAGGCCTGAAAGTGCCTGTTCCCTATAGACTGGCCTTTAGAGATGAAAGAAATCCCATGATTATTGAAAAAAAGGACTAATAATCACCTCAAATAGTCATTCTTCTGCCTAGAGGCAAGGTCATGACATGTGTGCCATTCATGTGTGTTTATGTGGTATATTTTTAATTACCTTTAAGGAAGGTGTTGCCAAAATCTGCCTCTCTGATCATCCCAGGTGCCTCATTGCACTTGCTGTTCAATGGGCTGTCTAAATGGCTCCCAAAGAGTTAATTTCCTTATTTCCTATAGGTGTCTTTTACATGTTTGAAGTCTGTTCAAGTAGCTTCACTCAGTCTTCTCCTCTAGACTGATGTTTATAATTTCCTTCAACTGCTTGCCTGAGCCCTGTTTGCTGGGCCAGTGGTTCTCCTCACCCCTCTCCTCTGGGCTCCCTCCTCATCCTGTATCACAGCACCCAGAAGTGGTCTCAGGACCAAATGCAGCAGCTCGCTGTGGTCCAAAACCCTCCTCGTGGCTCTATGAGGTGCCCAACACATGAGAAGAAATTATGCGGGTGCAGTAACAAAAATACCCAAGTTTTGCAATAACAAAATACTGGAGTTTTACAGCTCTCATCCAAGCTGCAGATCATCATCATCTGCTACCTTGGGGTTGAAATGGCTGATGCTGCATGATTTCCAGCATGGGTTCCCCCAAACTGCTGAAGGCTAGAAGAGCCTCCCACCCCTCAGCATTTCCTCGCCCTCCTTGGCTTTATCTTCTGCCAGCAGTGCCTGTGCGGAGGCATCCATGGTGCAGGAGGGGGCTGTGCCTCCCCCACTGCTTGTCAAGGGCCAGGCTGGTTCCAGGTCGCAGATGGTGACGATGAGGTGAGGTCTAGCAATAACCATATTGAATTGGTGGGTGAAGCTCAACTTGTGGTCAGAGCGAGCTGCCCTGGGTTTGGCCTCATGCAGGTTCCCTACAGCATGCCTCTTCCAAAAATCTGTGGGAAAAAAAGATGAAAAGTGTAAAGTCTGACCCTCATGCCTTGCTTCTAGGTTGGTTACAGCATTGCAAATGCTACTATTTCCCTTTCTTCACCTTGGCACAGCTTTGCAGGGAGAAGGGCCCATCCCTGCTAACCGAGCAGTGTGGTGTGTCACTCTCGATGCCAGTCTGATTCCACACACTGAACGTAACAGTTGTGGGTGTGAGTCCAGGCAGCAGAAGTCTGATGGGAATAGGGATATCTCAGCTGTGTAGCACCTACTGCAAATTACAGTCCTGTAATAATGACAATGAAAAAAGCAAAATAAGGACATCTGGCTGCAAAGCATCTATTTCTCTGCAGCCGGCATGGCTGTCAGGGCTGACACTGGTGCTTGTTGCACCAGTGGGAACAAAGGGAAATTAATACCTCCATGCAGTGTGTCGTCTGATGTGTCCCACTTTCTTTCCATCTCATGCTTTTTTCCCTGTAGCTCTGAATTGGAGTCTGATTTTAACAGCAACTCACCAAACTCTGAAGTGAGTGAAGGACAGACCTCACTGCTGGAGCCCCCCGCCTGCCCGAGCCCTGGCCGGAGGTGGGCATCACTCACCAGGAGCCCTGTGGTGCCAGAGGAAACCCCCAAAACATACAAAGTTGCAGATGGTAAGCAGTGTCCCAACCCGGGGATGCTCCTGCAGCCTCTCCTGAGGGCTGAAGTGAGGGCTGGGGGGAGAGGTTTTGAAGTGGAGGCTGTTACCTATGATGTGGCCAGGTTGTACATATTAATGGTGTCTTTATTATGGGGGATTTCTGTCTTTTGAGTGCTCTAGCTCAAACAGCATTTCCATGATGCAGGGTAAAAGGTGCTTTGCTTGCAGGGGTGGGATGAATGTTTTCCCACTGCCAAAAAGTTTGGACATTATCAGTAGCCAATGCAATCTTTGCAGTGCTGCCTAAGCAAGGATGACATTGGGAGGCACTGGAGAGCTCTGATTGGTTCAATTTGTGTTTCTATCAGTAGCTGCTTAAAATGAAAGCACAAGGAGGAGAGGAAGGGGAGAGATTTAGGAACAGTCTGTCTCCACGTGGAAACTCCTTTCTGGAGCTAGAAAAAGGTTAAAACTAAAAGATGTGCTAAAAACAGCCGAAGAAATGGTTATGCAGAAAATAAAAGGCCATCAGCATTCATTTCTTTCTGTCTCCCACCACTTCCACATTCATATATGCATTTTTAATCCAAACAGAAAAGAGGAGATTTCATACAGAAATTTAAATTGACTCTTGAATAACGAAGCCCTTGTTTAGGGCAAAAGCACAGCAACAAACCCCGAAAGGTGCCCAGCAGTGTGTGACCCCGTGCAGTCACTGAAGGGTTTTATCCTTGTTTCTCCCCAATGTCATGCTCCCCCCACCCCTGGGCAGCTCCTGTCACCTTCCTGCCCACCGTGCCAGCCGGGTTTTCTGGAGCTCCACATCCTCACCCAGCTGCTTTATAGCATCCTTAATAAGTTTTTACCCCCTCAGCCTTTCCCCCCCCCCCCCCCCCCCCCCCCATCTGTCTGTCTGTCTGTCTGCCTTTCTGCTCGTGCCCGTTTCGCTAAGAGCCGGTGGTGGTTTGGGGAGGTCAGACGGGCGCTCTCCCCTGGGCGGCTCCGCGCCCCCGGCCCGGCTGCGCGCTGCCCTCTCCCGGCTGCCCCGGGCTTTTTTCTTGTGTTGGTTTCGGGGTTGTGGTTTTGTTTTGGTTTGGCTTTTTGTTTGTTTGCTTGTTTGTTTGCTTGTTTGTTTGGGTTTTGCTTTGCTTAGATTTTTTGTTGGTTTTGTTTTTTTTTTTTTTTTTTTTTTTTTTTTTATTTGTTTGGGTTTTTTTTTGTTTAGTTGGCTTTGGTTTTGGGTTTTTTTTTGATTTTTGTTTGTTTTAGGTATGCTTTTGTGTTTTTTGGGGGGCTTTTTTTTGCCTTTTTGCTTGTTTTTTATGTTTGGGTTTTTTATTTTGCTTGTTTTGTTTTGGGTTTTGGGAGATATTTTTGTGTTTTTTGGGGGGGAGGGGTGTGGGTTTTTGTGGTGGTGTGTTTTTTTTTTTTTGTCTATTTGTTGTGTTTTGTTTTGTTTGTTTGCTTCCCCCCACCCCCATCTCTATTTTTGCTCTCTGGCTTTTGCTACATTAGCTGACCATATGTCTTTTTTGTTTCTGTCCAGCACTACAGAGAGCCAATAGTTTTCACTCCACAGCATTAAATAAGTATCAGAATTGGAGAAGAAAACTTCAAACAAGTGAGTAAAGCCTGAGAAGCAATTGTATCTTCTAATTATGCCGTATCCTGTTTTCTTGTCTCATAAATGTCTGTTTCTCCTTCTTTCCTTTAAAAGTGTTGCATTTTTGCATCACTAGCTGGGAAAATGGAGATCTAAAAATGCACCAAATATTTCTTTTCCATTTTCTTGTCCTGAAAAGATCAAATTCTAGTTTTGCATGACCACTCCCTGTGTTATTATGTCTGCTGGCAAGTTGTGTCCACTCTAATTCTACTGCCAAGAAAATGCACCCCTATCCCAGAGCCATGTGTTCTGTCTCTAGCCCTGTCAGCACTTATTGCTTTTGGTTAGGTACAATGCTGGATCTAACATTTTGAGTATCACTTATTAGAAATGCTCCCAGAGGTGCCTAGTTACACCCATCTACAGGTGCTCTGTCACCTCTTTTTTGTTGGAAAAAAAAAAAACCACAGGTGATGTTTCTGCATTACCGAAAGGGAGAGAGTGCTAACAGCAATCCCAAGAGGTGAGATGCTGAAACTAAGTGCTACTAGATCTTCTCCTCCAGTAGTTTGACTTGGTTTGGGCTGACCAGTCTCTGCCCATGGGAATCACACAGGTGTGCAGTGATTTCAGTAGCGATCAGGTCTGTGCTCAATTCACTTCTGAAACACAGTGTGGTCACCCCTTGCAGCTGAGGCTTGTGTCTAAGGTAATCTTCCTCCTGGGCTGCTGTCCCAAAACAAGCCAGCCACCCTTGGTCACACCTCTGCAGCTCCTAACAGGGTTGCCTGCCTGCCTTGGCACAGCCCCTCTGCAAGTGCACCCGGTGCCTGCCCTGTCCCCACTAAGGAGGCGCAGGTACCTGCCAGGACTGATCATACCAGTATGGGAGCTGGGTGAGCTTACCAGCATCCCCAACCTTCTCAAAACTTGGTTAGAAACACAGTCGAATCTGTTAGACTGAGGTGTTGACAGCTTTAAGTATAAAACATGAATGTACAGCAGCAGAAAGAAGGGATTTCTGCATGTGACCAAGTGCCACAGTTCCTGGGCATGGAGACAGCGGGTTTTGGGGAATGGTGGTGACAGCGACTCTTTAACCCTGCCCTCAGCTGCCCTCCACAACAAGGGGGATTTCTGCTGCCACTCAAAGTTCCAGCTCCCTTCAGAGACATTAAGGCTCTGCTCCTGAAACAAATAGGATCCCCGTATCCATTATGGGACCTGTGTTCAAGCAGAGGCGTCTCTGCTTGCTTGGTTTGAATGCACAAGCAAGCTTCAAGATTATTTGCAAGTACTCACTGTGGGATGGATTTTTATAGCCCAAAAGAGGAGACAAACTGCATCTCTCTTTCTCAACACCAGGCTAGCTTCTGAGTCAGATGCCTGCAGGTACAGCATTTGAGGCAATTGAGGATTGGATTATGATCAGGTGTTGGCTTCACCAAAGGCTTGTATTTGAAATCTTGCCTTAATTGATCTCAGTTTTTAAAAGATCAAACAAAAATTTTGCTTATTCCAGGTTTGAGGGGGAAGAAAGAAAGACTGTGAGAGAGGAAAGAAAAGACCAGGGATCAGTCTTAATTTCAACTAATTTTCAGCTTGTTCTCAGCAAATGCATTACTTAATCGTTTGCCAATTAGTTTCCCCATCATTTTATTAAAATCATTCATGTGCCTCCAAAGGGCTCTAGAGGGAGCTAAAAGCCTTTGAGAGGGAAGCAACGTGCAGCATGAATTTGTTTGAACCTCAAGTATGCTGTTAAAATGAGGTGTAAAGCACATTCAGCATATACTGGGAAAAGAAAAAAGGCATTTTTTAGCCTCTAGAGGAACACTGTAAGTCTTAGTTTCTATATTTAATCCACTTAATATTTGGTTACAAGAATGCATATGATCATCAGTCACATGAAAGAAAAATCTGTCTCCTTTTCAGACTTATTTCCCAACACACATATGTTTCATAAACAGTAGAAGGTATGTGGCCAAGGAAAGGAAATCAGTGCCATGGTTATATTGGCTGAAAGTCTCAGAGCAGGATATTACCTTTCAAAATCTTTAATCCCTGTCGCATGGCTACAGGGAACGCTATGCTCTTAATTTATCTTGGTCACTTGGAGTAGCTTTTGGGCCAAGCAGATGATGATAGTGCCCTAGGGAATTTTTTTTTTTTTAATCTGATTTTGAATGTGAAGCTGCAAATCTGGGTTCTGTGATTTGGTGGGAATTAATCCACTATCTCTGTGAAAGACAGCAAGCTGTGTGTTTGCATGAAGAAGTATTCTTGCATGTGCAGGCCCTGTCCTTGTAAACTAATGCAGGCCCACGAGAGCTGTGGTGGGAGGTAGTTCTCCCCACAGGCATGTGCCATTACCCTGCAGACCTGTGGGCTGTGGGTTTTTTGCCTTTATTGCTGTTATGGTTGTTGCTGCTGCAGGAGTTTCATTTCCCCTCAGTATGCTGAGCCATGACATTTGCCTGTGTCAGGAGGCTCAGAGCTTTAGTGCATCAGGCTAAGCCCTCCCTGGCTCACTTAAACAGGTGACGGTGGGACTTTTTTATCCTAATTCTGGATTCTTATTTTTTCCCATAGCTCAAGTCACTTTACAGAATATGAAGGTCAGCCCCTGGTTGCTAGTACCTCTGGGAGTTCCTTAATGAACTCCAGCGCATCATTTCCCTCCACTTTTTACAGGACATAACAAACTGCATCAAGATTGGGAATGAATAGGTGAGACACTGAGAGGAAAGGAAAGTTGGCCTCTCTCCCTGGCTTGACTTTTCTGAAGTCCATGTGCAGGAACTGTCTTCTCTCTCTGGTGTGTTGCTTTTGTCCTTGCACAGCTTTTAATCCCTAGGTAGAAGAAGCAAACTTTGCTTTGGGAACCTTTGTGGGTTTCAGAACAGATAATTGCGTTTGGGAGTTAATAATTCAGCTGTAAATATACTTGTCATGTTATAGCTTGACATGGTAGATTCTTGGCTCAGGGATGCTTTTGTTTGGTCCAAAGATTATTTATTTTGTAAAATTCCCACAGGCACAAATATTAGAGAGGTCTCTCAGCTCCCTTCAGGTGCAAGTTACCTCCCTGGTTTTTCTTCCCGCAGGTCTAAGTCTGTCTGTGCTAGCTTTGGTTCAAGGTCTTTAGCAATTAGTTACCTTGCCTGATCCTAGGAGAGCCCCTAGCACTCTGCTTGTTGGCCTGGCTTGGGAGACAGCAGGATTATTTCTGTCCTCACTGTCTGCAGGTGGTTGCATTTCCTATTTTTTTCCCATTCTGATGGACAGCCCTCTCAGAAGTCATCCATTTTTTTATTTCTCAGAACTACTCAAAGTTTCAAAAGTCGCTGGTTATTTTGACTGCCTCTGTTTTTAAGGCCTGAAATCCCTCTAACGAGGGCTGATTTTCCAGACAGTTTCCTGGAACTCAAAAGCTGCTTCACTATGTCCTGCCAAAAAGTGAAAGCAATTCAGGCCCACCGCTGAAAATGTCAACATGTGCTTGGCACAGTGTGCACACACATAGGAGTGAGGCCATAAACTTCATTACTGGAGGTCAGCTCTTCAGGTACAGCTGTTTCCAGATGACTGTTTAACTTCCTACTCTTATTCTTTAACTGCAAACTTTCTTTAAGACAAAAACAATACCGATGTGATGGTAATATTTGTGTCTTTGGCAGGCTTCCCTCTGCTGTCCAGCAAGAAACCCGGGTTACATGGGAAGGACAGCTCATCCAGCTGTCAAAGTGGTCCTGGAGAGGATCACTCCCAAACACAGGTACAAAAGAGAATTGTGCAGAGGAAAACAAATGGTACTACTGTTGGGGCATGTCTGCTCTTGGCAGGCTGTCTGAGCATCCCCTGCTCTTTCAAATATTTTTGGTCCTCACAGTATCCACTAGAGTTGGAGTTATGCCTGTGCTGTGCATAGGGAAGAGACTTTGATGCTCTGGTTGATATAACCATTCCCAAATCATTCTCTGTGGGACTCAAACATCGGTTGCACTGGCGTTTAGGCACTAATCTGTTGCATCAGTCAGCATGTAGGCACCACCACCCTGCCCTTCCCTTGCAGCATGGGGTTTAGCTGCCACTGGTATTTCCTTTATGCCACAGGTTCTGCCCAAAGGAGAGGAAATCCCCCAAACCCCTGTCCTTCAGTGCTCCAGAGCTGGCTGTTGGTCTGCCTGTGTGCTTGTAGGGCTGGATGGAAACATGTGGTGTGTTGGGCAAGGACATGTGCCAGCACTGGTAGGGTGAGAGGATATCACATCTAAGTGACTTAAATGCCACTTGATCACTGTGCATCACTGAGAAAAAGGCAGATGCCAGCACTGGCCTTGGAGAGCAAATCTGGGAGCCAAGTTAAGGGCTCAGATAGTGCCAGCCATAGGCAACCTGGCAGAGGAGACTAGGGGATTTTAGGCCATTACAGCCCTTAGATGTAGGTGTGCCTGTGTCTAATGTTTACCCCTTGTATCTGGTAGACAGAACACTTATTTTCTTAATTTGCAGCAGGCTCTTGGCTCCACACTTCCCACAGCTCAGGAGCATCTCCAGTTTCCTTCAGGACCTGGGATTTCCATTGTATTTTCTGTTTTGTGGGTTGTTTTTTTGTTTTGTTTTGTTGTTGTTGTTGTTGTTTGGTTGGTTTGGTTTTTTGTGTTGTTTTTGTTTTGTTTGTTTGTTGTTTGTTGTTGTTTGGGGTTTTTTTGTGTGTGTGTGTGGGTTTTGTGGGTTTTTTTTGGTTTTGTTTTTGTATTTCTTTTACTTTTTATTTTTTTCTAAGGCCGTGAGTGCAGCACTGCAGCAGGAGTCATGACTGACCATCCCAAGCAAAAGGCAGCACATCCCTTGGACTTGGAGCCAGGCAGAGTGGGGACCAGCCCACATCCTCTGTGTCCTAGCCCATTGTCCTCACCCTTGGGTTAAAAATGATTAAAATTGCTTGACCTCAGGGTCTGTGTTAGAAAAAAATTAAACCTTCCATGTCCATGGTGGTAGTTGAAATCCGGTCCAGGACAATAGGGCCAGGAAGGGAATGTCCCGGGGGAGCAGAGCTGCACAATGCTGCCTAGACATGCTGTGCACAAGGAGAGGTGACTCCATGCAGCTCCCAGTCTATAAGCAGTGCTTAGCAGTCTTTTTCTTACTTTAAAGAGAGAGGATTAAGAGGGTGTTTATTTGTTTGTTGGTGTTTCTCATGTTTTTCTATCTGAGATCCTGGCTAATATTAATTTTAGTCATCAAATACAACTGTGAAACAGGGAGTAATCATTCTTTCCTTCTGATGCTTCTGGGAAATGAGAAGTCAGATAGATTAATGGCTTCACCAGTGTGAATTTGGGAATCTGGCACATAAATGGAAACAGGAATTGAATCTTTGCACCATGAATTATCGCATAGCATTGAGGATAAAATGCCTTCCATTTAAGAAGGAAAAAACCCTTTAGTTTTGGTCTGCTGGCTACATAATGTGGGCGTTTATCCTTGCTACTATCTCCAGTGGAAGATTTCAGTGGCTAGAGTAATGAATTTAAATATTCACCAAAGGAAAAATAATCATGAGAGAACTAATTGAATTGTTTAAAACTACCATCTTGCATTTTACAATCTTTTCTGTGTCACTTCATTCCTACCTGTGCTATGTAAGCATGCAATATTATAAAAGCAGTTGGAGTGAATGAATGATAGTCTTGTGCTTGCTGGAAGCTTTAAGGTGATGCAACTGGAATGCACATGGGAGAATAGAGCAGATCTGCTCTTGTTTATTTTCCTGTAGATAAGTCTGTTTCTTTCTATGGAAAATATTAATGGCAAATCATAAAGATATGACTGATTCTTAGCATGAATAACATTATTTTAGACTATTAACATTTGCAGTAGTATTAGATCTCCACTCCTAGAGAAATATTAGACCTTCACGGAGAAAAGTTTTCCTTGTTATTGTGTTATCATCTACATGTGTATGTGTGTATATATGTGTACATAAATTAAATATTATGTTTATTGGCATTACATTCTGATTAAAATATTATATGAAATAAAAGATACACTCAACTATATTTTTCTACCCCTAAAATCTTTTTTTCATGCCCTTCACAGTTGACTACATACAAGAAATCACCAGAAGTTACAAGAGGACATTTCAGACCCTACAGCCCAGTATTTCAAATAAAAGAAAAAGCCAGAGAGATGCCTGAAGACATCTGTCTCTATGTACCCCATTGTCCTTTGCAGAGCAGCACCAGAGGTTCTCCATGGACCCCTCCTGGGAATGGGACACTGGCTGCTGATTTTTCTGAGCCTGAAGATACAGATAGTGCCACTGGGACGTACACATCTCAGGGATGGAAGGAAATAAAACAGAAATATACCTCTGAACCAGAAGATTTTAATAGGAAGACAAAAGTGCTGTCATCTCTGGATTTGAAAGAGGAAGATGGCAAAAATACAAAGCACTCAGAAGAAAAGCTTGAGCAAGAATTAAAGGAGGCAAAAAAGAGGCTGGTGCTTTGTACTCAACAGCGACCCATGTCGTACGATTCAAATGGGACAGACTTAGATGGAACCAGTCCAGGGTATCAAAACAAAGGAGTGCTATGGACTTCAGAGGAGAAGGGTGATGACAGGAGAAAAGATGTGTTCAAACTGTCTGGTCGTCCTGTGCCTCTCTTATCTGGAGATGATGCTTCACCAACTTTGCCAGTTGACAGAAAAGATGCTCTGAAGAGTCTAGATGCAGCTGGCCAGCCAAAATCACCACTGAGACTCATAGCCAGTGCTATCAAAAGGTCCATTTTGGAGCCTCTAACCTCATCTCCAGAAGGATTAAAGCAGGACTCAGACAGCAGAGTCAAAGCCTCTTCAGAACAAGATTTCTTCAACTTCCCCAGCACTCCCAGCTATTCCCTAAGCCAAAGGAACAGTAACAATAATAGTGCAAATAACGCACAGCCACAGGAGCCTAAAGTAGGGGAGTGGGCAGGAGAATATTTAGGAAATGGGAGCATTTTCTCAAATCCATCCAATTTTTCTGTCAGCTCTGAAGAGAGATCTCTAAGGGATTACAGGAAGGAGATATCCTTCCCAGTCTACAGTCCTCACACCAGGCCTTCCAAGACAACCAGTATACCTCAGAAATCATCTTGTACTAGGATGGAGGACGTCCCAGGACTCCTAGAAAAGTTTACCTTTAAAGATACTCCTCCAGGGGCTTCCATGGATGGTGTGTTTATCTGTAATGAAAGGTACCCCCTTCTTTCATCTCCAGAGCCTAAGAACACCTCCAAGGACAATCTGGATGACTGTGCACAGAAGAATAGTCTTGGGTTACTCTTCAACAGACTAAGAAGTAAAGGTCATGACAGAGAAGGGAATTCCTTTGTGTCATCTCTGCCTTTCATGAAGGACCGTTCTCCAGAAGAAAGGCTATGTTATCCTTCCACAGGTGAGGACCTGAGTGGTATTATTTTTATTATTATTAAGTAACAGCACTGGACATTTAAAAGACCTGTGTGTGATCACACAAACAGGTATCTGTTGTATGTTTAATTTATAGTTACTTTCTACATAGGAAGACTTCATAAATACATTTTTTGGTTAAGATTTAGGACTTGCTTCTGGTTTAAAGGAGCAGAGCAGATTTGCAAGCAGAGTGCAGCTCACTGGACCCAAGTTTGGTCTGCTACTTGCCGCTGTCCAAATGTTGGGGTTCAAATGTTCAAAGTGTTTGTGTCAGGAAAATGTACTTGGCGAGGTGGAAGGGACGGTGGAGCAGAGTGGGCTGATATGATACCGAGTGTGTTGTGGAAAGTGGAGTACAACAGGCAAGTGGAAGGATGAGCACTGATAACTCCAGTGCAGCGTAGAGCACATTTGCTGCCCTTTCCATGAGGAGATCAGAGACTGAAGCAATATGGTTGCAATAGCAAGAAGCTTTGCTCTGTATGTGCTTTCTCAGCAGGTGTCCCTTCAGCTCTGCTGTTGTAGAGACTGAACAGTAGACATACTTTTGGGAGCTTTGTGGTGTCATTAATATCCCCTTATTCTTTTATTTGAGAGGAGATAGTATGTTATTGACCTACTCTGACCTATCATGTGAGTCTATTTGGGCAGTGATTAAAAGGCATCAATTTTCATGTTTGCTTGCAAGAACAAGGTTAGTATTAAAATTGCAGATGTGTCTGAGAAATATTGATGTCAAACAAAGAGCAATCTGAGTAATCTGAGTATAGGCTCAGAAAGAATTAAGTGCAGCACAGTTTCAGGTTCCAAATATGAGGTATGAATGCTGCACCCACCTGTCTCTCTGTGATTCATCTTTCCACTAGCCCACTGCAGAAAGTCACAGTTACTTAACTAAATAACCTACTGAATTTTATTGGCATACCTGTTTGTTTCTTACTTTATTAAACTGCACTCCAAACTGTAACCCCGAAATTGCTGATATACTGCAGCATTAAAATAACAATGTGTATGTAAAACGTGAAGTCACGGAAATGTTCCCAGTGAGCTGTCAGATCTTTTTTGCATCCTTTCTGCTTCAGAACCACTGCATACTGTGAGGAAGATACACAGTTTATAAGAGACTTGATCTGATGCTCATTAAAATCGATAGAATAACTCCCGTTTTCATTCCTGAATTTTTGGATTGGATTCTTGGAGCATTCCTTATCTAATAACTCACAAACCCAGGCATCCCCATTGAGCCATAGGATGCCAAGAGCTATGCTGAAGCCACAAAGAGTTGCTAGTGTTCACAATTGTCAGGCTGTGGTCTTAAATGGGAGGCTTTTTCTGAGTCTATACCTCGTCATCACTTGTCAACTAAGCTAAGGTGACTTGTTCTTATCTAAGTGCATTGCAATAATTGGTATGTTGTGTTCTCACTAAAATGGGAAAAGTTCTTGTTAGTTATGATTAATGCTATACTTTATTTACATTTTAAATATTTTGGAAAAACATGCTGGTTTAATATGTGTTGCATTCCTCTGCTGAGCAAGGCAAAAGAGGAATTATTAAATTATTATAATTACTGAATGTAAGCATTGCAAAGTCTGTTCAGAAGAAAAAAAATGCAGCTTTGATCTAGCCATTTACCCGTGAATCTGTCATCTTCAACATTTCAATATTGCAGCTCCCTGAACTTTTTAAAACATTCATATTTGAGTAAATCAAACTGGTAAAATAGAAGTCCTGCTTGGCTCTCTAAAATGGCATTTCTGTCTTATACTGGCACTCATCTGAGGTCCAGGCTTGGCAAACTTCAGTCATAAACTGATGACAAGCTTTAGCCCACATTACATGTCATTATTTTTCTCTTTTTAAATTTACTATGAATCTCAGAAAATACATTTTCTTTAAAGAAAAAAAAAATACTCCCAGCACCTTGCAGAAACCAATTTAATGAGGCTTTTTCTCATACTCCTCTTGGCTCTTTTCAGTAGGGCTTTTCTATCCTGCTTGAGGTCAGACAGACTTGTTCTGTGCAAGTATGGTTGGTCTTACATTACGCTGATGTTTTCTCCCATGATGGGCTATGGAGCCAAAGAATGAGCTGGGTTATAAAAGTGCATGGACTTGAGATGAGACTGGGAAAGCTCATTGAAGGGAAATCCTTTGAGGAGTAACCAAATGCTTAGAAACCCCTTCCAATTTAGAAAGCTCCTGAACTGAAAAATGTTTGGAGGCTGCAGGAGCATTAAGAGGAGGAATCAAATATGAGTGCCCAGTGCCTGTAGCGTTCCTTTAGACATCCACTGCTGGAGACAAACTGGAAGGCCCTTCAGTCTCACCTGACACATCTACTTTGATGTTATGTTGCTCATCTTTCATCGTCAAATACCTGTCCAGATGTCTTTCCTATGCTGATAACTTCTGCATTTCAGACCCAGGTATCTGTCTCTATTAAAAACTATATTCTGGCCTTCTGTTGTCTCCTGCTAAGTGTTCAGCCACCAGCTGAATCTCAGCATGAGGAAGCAGAGATCTTAATTACTCAGCAGCAGATTGCTTGTTGCTCAAACTTATGCCTGCAGTTACACCTTCCATATGGGTCATTCCAGCTTCTGATATCCAGTCCTGATCTAAAAGCTTTCTGGCTAACACTTTCTTTCTGTTTCATAAGGGCTATTCCTCAGACCACTTGGAAATTTTGGGCTGTGCAGAGATCCAGCTGCACAGACTGCCTAGGTGGGACCTAGACAAATCTTACTGAAGTAATGGGGGTTCATGCACTGTTTTCAGTGAGAGATTGGTTTTTAACAAAAAAAAAAAAAAAATCCTGTCTAAATTTGCAGGTAGAATATACAAATATCCCCAAATACTCATGCTATAGTTTCTAGGTGCAATTCCAGATTTTTGATTTACTGCACAAATATCTTTGTGGCTTTTGTCCCTTGATTTCTCCTTTTTGTTCCAAATTGCAGTTAAAAAAATAAAAAATAATTTGATCAATAAAATTGATCAACCAGATCATTAACTCTTCTCCTCTAAACCTACTTGCCCTTTTGAAATTCAAAAAAATACCAAAGTGCTGTGTTAGTTATAGATACTAAAAGTCATTAATACCACAGAAAAACAACAGTAAAAAGAGAGCTAAGCCAGATTGTATGAGAGTAACAGTCAGCAGTGTTTGTAATGAGATGTAGTTGTGGATCCAGGGTTTAGGCTACTATTGACTTACAGACACACCTTCTAAAGACCAGCCCACAAAGGTGGTTGGTTGTTGGCAGATGTTTGACTCCGGGTTTGCTTCTTGATGGCAATGGAGACATGGGAGGAATATTTATGTCCCTGACACAGTAGATATCATGTGAAAACATTCATAGAATCGTCCCTTAGATGAGATGAGAGTTGTTATAACTCAGTTTGTGACTGTGTGTTGTTTACATGCCTCACTTCATTAAGATGGAACACTATTCAGCTGATGAGAAAATCAGACGTGTTATGAACTCACTTTGTTGTGAACTGCTTGTAAGTATTTCAGGTTCATACATGGTTTCCATTACTGCATCTTTGTACCACTGAAAGTCTGTGTGTTTGTGATGTTCTTGTTAACTAGGACATGGTTATCTCAGTGATTTCATATTTTAGAAGGGTAACTGAGGCACTACAAGATTAAATTACATTCCTAAAACCACATGAGAAATTTATGGAGGAGCAGAGATGTGAAGCCAAATAGTCAAGCCCACTCTTGATTTCTACTAGCCTTTCTTTTCATGTCCTACCTCATGCCAATTCCCATCTGGTTTGGGATAGCAGTGCCCCAGGAGATATGTGTAGCTTTGCCTCTCTCTTTTAAAACACTGAAACATTTAAAGTGGTCATGATTAACTCCAATGACTTTATAAAATTATGCAATCTTGAACACTTACAGAGGAAGCCAACAGATTAATATTATATTAAGTCATAAAAACAGTTCCTTCTCCAAGACTTTCTATCTATTTAGACTACAGTCATTACTGTGACACAAAAACACCCCAGGAAAGGGAGGTGAGCTGCAACATGCAGAGTGATGGCAGCAGTGGTTTTCCCTATCAATCTCCAGGACAATCAGCAGTGCTCCCATGTCGAACAGAAGGTATCACCTTCTTAACATCTTCATATGACACCTCCCTCTTTGTTCAGAGGACCTCAAGTTTCCTAGGAAAAACAGTGTCTTAGATTTATATGTTAAGGGAAAGGTTCTCAAAAGCACTGGACTTTGGTCCAGTTGATCCCTCTGAATACAGTGAGGGTTCTACTGCTGACAGTATTCAATGGCAGCACACTTAGACCAAAGCAAAGTGTCTTTGAGACCCACCATTGGATTACCAAGTTGTAATGAACTGGCTATAGGAAGGAATTTTAATTTTATGGATGTAATTTTTCTATCTCTTATGACATGCACATATGAGGATACCAAGTCTCAATATCAAGAATTGGAGGTCTCCTTCAACTTTGTACTTTGAAGCATATTCTGTGACACTGTCAGATTCAGTAACAATTAATAACAATGATAATTAATACTCAGTTTCCTGTGATTTGACAGCTGTAAATCAGGCATGCTGGAAAGATCTCTTGACCAAACTCCTAGTAGCTACTGTGAGGTAGAAGTCAAGAATAGATTAATAAAGATTTCAGAAATATTTGTTCCTTTCCCCTTTATAATTAAGAACTAAAACTATGCCTGATCGTTCATAGTGATCCAAAGTTGTCTTAGCTGGGGAAGAAAAGTTCTAATAAAACATATGTTAACTTGGAAGTTAGGGAGACATCAAAGTACTTAAGAAATAAGTAATAAATAAATCCCATTCTGAAGGAATGAAATGGCCAGAAAGAGAAAGTTGAAGTCTAGAAGAGTTGTATTAATATTTGGAGTAAAACATATGTTTTTGAGATCTCTTCTGTAGCTATCAAGCTTTAAGACTTGGCATATTTGGAGTAGACAAATTATTATTATCCAGCTTTACTATTGCAGTTCTAAGTTTTAGATTTAAATCACTCAGTAAGTGTAAAAGTCCCCAAGTGAAACATTTTTATATGTGAACTCTGTCCAAATCCTCACAGCTGGTGGCTAAATTCTGCCTGTCACCCTATCACACCCCTTTGGAGATGGGAAAGATTAATGCTCAGTCATCTATAGTAGAACATATAGATGCTATAATATAGAAGAGTGGGTTATGGTTTTTTTTTTTTTGGTTTGTGGTTCTATTTTTTTTTTTTTTTTCAAACATAGCATAAACTTGTAATATTTAGCTCTGCACAGAGAAAGTTCATTCAGTGAGGGGATTTCTTACTATGCTTGTTATAGTTGTCTTGAAGTTGAAATTTGCATCTGGGGTACATTTTAGAGCATATTTCTGGTCTCTCCAACAAGGAAATAGCTGAAGAAAAATAGCTGAGCAGGGCACTGAGTGGCTACCCTTATAAAGCAACGCACTGTCCCACTGTTTCTATATCCCTGAAATGTGACAGGACCACACATCTGGGAGCCAAAAACCTGTATTCTTATCCCATTTCTCTCACTCCTCACTGTTTGTTTCTGGGCACCTCCTTGGAGCAGCCCATGCTTCAATTCTCCACATTCTATTGGCAGAGAACGTCAGTGCTGTGAAATGTGTATACAATAAATGTGACAGAGACCATAACTGTCAATGTGCACAGGTAGATCCATCAGATGCCTCATCACTGTGTGGTTTCATGTGGTCCTTCATCCTGTAGGATTCTCAGGCGGACATGATGAAGGACATTGCTCATCTCAGTCATGGGGATGTTGTCTCACAGGGCTTTGAGTACCATGTCCTTCGAAAGGCTGAGCTGTTTCAGAGCAATCTAAGAGTCTTTTCTCTGCAAAGCAAGGTTCACATATCTGGCTCTCCATAGCAGATATCCAGTGAGGGGACTGTGGATGTTATGAATCTATTCCATGTGCAGACATCAGCTTCCTCATGCTCATGAGATGGGCCTTGGAAGTCCTTGGGGAAGTCATTGACCCTCTCTCTGTCACAGAAAGGCAAAGAGCTCATGAGTCACACCCCTGAGAAGGCAGGTGCCCTTGTGTTACAGCAGGTTGCTTTTACTCTAGACCTTGTAACGCTATTTAAATTATTGATATCATTCAAAGAGGAGGACAGCGGGAAGCAGTCACAGATTCCCACAGCTGAGAGAAGAAAGGGAGCATTTAATTGCTTGTGTTTCTAGCCCTGCTGGGCTGTAAGCTTTGCCCTTTGCACATTATGGAATTTGATTTCACCAGCGGTGTGACCGCAGGGTAGTTACTGCAAACTTTTGGTTGCACAAGGAAAAGTAAGGTAGGTGAGTTTACTTCTCAAAAGAAGTAGTGACTGACACCCTCCATGTCTTTCTCCATCTCGTGCACTGGGAAGGGCTTTATGGCTGACTGTCCTAGCTGGGGGCAGAGGTGAGGTGTAGCTGGATTTGCACTCTTTTCCGCAGAGTGTGGGGCAGTGCATGGCACCAGTGTGACCCCAGCAATTGTGAGCCATCAGAGAGTCCCTGGCTGGTCAGTGAGCAGGAGTTGTGTCCCTGCTGCAGGTGCCGTGAGGTGGGGAGGTGTGGGGAGGCAGCCAGGGCAGTCTTGGAGCAGGGGAACCGCCTGGAAGGATGGACACCTGCCTGGAGGGCTGCTGAATCCGCTCGCAGGCACCTGCGGCACAAGGGCTTCTGCAAAAAGGATGGCAGGACCCAAGTCTGTTCCACTGGACCCTCTGAGCTTGCAGCTTCATTGAGCACAAGGACTGGGTGCTTCTAAAATTGAGATTGCTGAAAAAAAAAAAAATCAGAATTTCTGCCTTAAATTTGCTTTTATTGCTTTACTGTCTGGGATGAACGTGTTTCATGGATCCTGATTTTAAATTAGGGCTTGGGACAGAAGTCCTCCTTCAGGACTGGGGTCCAGGACAAGGCAAAGAAGAAACATTCACACTGGGAAAATGGGAAGTGATTTTCATCTGAACACAACTTGCACATAGAAAGCCAACTGTTACCTCACAGATACAAAGAGAAATGGCACTGTTAGTTTTAAATAATGTACATTTCCAAGATGTTGCCCAGCTGTTAATCATTAACCCTGTAGCAGGTTGAAGCATAGAGACAGATGTTCCAAAAGAGGTTTTATTTTCTGAAATAAAGAGAATGAAGCTATGAATTAGACAAATTAAGAAGAAATTCAAATATTTACACCCAGTTGAAACAAGATGCTGGAAAAACAGGCATGATAAAATTGCTGCAATTAAATGTAATTTAATTTATAATTCTGAAAGCGTGCTTCTTCCAAAGGCAGCCTTTGAGTTTTCCTTATGGAGTACATTGTTGTGATGTATGGATTTTCCTGACTTATTATGGCATTTTAATCAGCAGTTCAATGATGTGATAATATTCCTAAAGCAGAAAAATAAGTGACGTTTGTTTAGACATAATTAATGAAATATTTATGTTGCATGAGGCTGTGTGATAAAGCCTTGTTCTCTTAGTCCATTTGCTTCTGATTACATTTGTGATTTTTTTATATGACCAGACATTCTGACGCCAACTATTTTACACTGAGCAGATGTCATGTAGTAAAAATGGGTGCCAGATGCTACAAGCCACATAAGGGTAATTTGTTTAAGAGCTGGCTCAGACTTTTTGCATTCAATTACACTGTATAGTGAGTCTTATACAGTCATTTGGGTAATATGGCTAACTTCAGATATACATTTTAATGAATGTTGAGTGCATTCAGTACAGCATGCTACATGTGGGGTGCTCAAGAAATTAATTTATTTGTATGTAATACCTGAAAAAAATCAAATGTACCCAGACAGAGTTTTTGACAGGGATCAAAAATTTAATTAATGCACAGCTGAATTTTCAAATTGCTCTAGGTGCTGCTGATTAGAACTCAAGGCAGGTGCAAAGTCTCTGGGTGAGTTAAAGAACAGCATTTTTTGCTTTACTGACTATTTTGTTCCTACATTTTAGAATGTGAACACTTACCTGTCAGAAAACAAGCTACTGAGTATTCTACTTCTTCCTCTGATGATGAATTTGAATCCAAGCCTTCATTAACACACAAGGTAATCTTGACTTGGAAACAGAAAGATAATTCCTCAGTTGGACTGTGTTTAAGAGTCATCACAGTATTTTGATCAAAAAACACAGGACAGTTTCTCAAAGTGGGATTGGAATGTTTTATCAGTAGAGGTTATGTGTCATGGAGAGAAAATACATTAAAACTCTTTAAGACAGATGAATATAAAAATTTCTTTTTCCTCTTTGGATCTTTAATTCCCCAGGTTACACCATCGTTGACAGAGGAGGTCTTAATTTGACAAGCAGACATATTTCACTGAAACCACTTTGAAGATACATTCTTAAGTGGCCTTAATATGTAGCCCAACAAGCAAACTATTGAAAAAATTAAACCAAACAGATGCAAATTTCCCATGGGGAAATACAACTTCATTTGAGAGGCACTGCAGGCAGGTTGCGTGGAAAACACTGTTTATCCTAATGAGCACAACCGTGTGAGCCACAGAGTCACACCCAGACCTTGTACGCCAACAGGGCCAGCTGCAGATTGGGGTCCCAAGCCCGAACTCAGCTCCTGTGGCTTGCCGGAGCAGTGGGGTTAAAGCACCACTGAGCTCTTGATACCCAGCTCTGATGTGAAGAAACAGAGCATTTATTGCCTGAATACCTCATCAGAAACGTGAATGTGTTTACCTTTCATGTGGAGGGGGGGATATCAGTAAGTGGAATTAATAGCATGAGGTGGCCTTCTGATTTGTTGCCTTTGTGGGGAGGGAGGGAAGGGGAGTGAAGGAAAACAAAGCAAGGGGCTGCCCAGTACTCTGGAAAAACAGCCAAGCTGAAAGCTAAGTGGGGCTTTGAATGGAAACCCAGTTGCACAGCTCCAGAGGAGCCAAAGTGCCATGACACAGAAGCACAGCAATTTAAGGTGGCATGTCCTGCCAGTGACTCTGTGTCAGGATGCGCTGAGATATCAGAATTCATCATTCATCTTTCCTGTTACAGGAAAGACAAGTTATAGTAAGAAAATGTTATGGTGAATTAAAGTTAAACAAAATCGAGCAAAGAAAGAGACATGGGAGAAAACTGGATAGGAGCAACTCCCAACAGTTCAGGCAGCCGCAGGGCTGGGCAGCGCTGCCAGGGCAGCTGCCAGAAATGGGGTGAACAAGCATCTGTCGCACACGGGCATTAGCAGTGACTCAGTTCTGATGCACATTCCCCACTTAGCTTGTATCTCTCGGCTGCCTCCTAGCTCTTCTTTTCCTGCCAGTTCTGGCTGCTATTTTGCCAGTACCACCATTTGTCTCTGGCAAAACTTGGGGAAAATTTTAGCAGCTTCCTGGCTTGTTAGGTTTTTTTAATCGTCTCGTCTATGGTGCTCATATATTCTGTCTCCTCCAAAATGGGAAAACCACAGCCTTGAAGCACTTCCAGAGAGCCTCGGTCAAAGGCAGGACAGAGTGAGCACAGGCAATTCCCTTGTCAGCCCTGCAGCACGTGCTGCTCCACTTTCTCAGCAGCTGCAATAGGTGTCCAGGGAAAGGCAAAAAACTCTATAATGCAGGAGAGAAATGGCACTGGGGAAGGTTTTGTAGGGCTTCAGGTAGTGTCCTGTGATGGCTGTTTCTTTCGGATACATCACTCTTACAATGTTACAAGCAATCCAAAGTGAATTTTACTACCTAGCAGTTACAGAAGTAAAAATGGGTTGCGTTTCCTTAAACTGGTGCTCCTCCCCACCTGTGCGTCACTTTTTCCCTGATCATGGTGATGTCTGCAGAAGCCATGTATAGGTATGTTGTATATAGTCAACACTGTGACTCAGACATATTTTTATAGTTAGACATAGTTCATCTTCACTTAGGGTTGCAATAAGAGCTTATAATGATTTAAAGTCAATGTAGGCAAATGCATGAAAAAATTCCTACATGAATATTTTCATTTTGGTTAGGTTGCCCCAAGCACTCTACAGTAGCTCACCTCACTTTGTGCACAGCATTCAGGTTAGGCTACCTCCAGAGGTCTCTCCCAACCTCAACAGTTCTGTGATTCTGGTGAAGGTTTGAGAAAACCTGTAATAGCATACTTGGGCTTTGATTGCTTTTTTTTTTTTTTTTTTTTTTGTGCTCTCTTTTGTAGGCAAAAAATGCTCTCAGAAGGAGAAGGAAGCTGGAGAAGGAGACAAAGCAATTGATTAAACAAGAGGAGCTGAAGAGGCTTCACAAAGCACAGGTGAAAAAGTAGCTCATGGATGTCCCATTTGTCTCCCAAGACTTACTAGTGAGGACAGGGGGTACCCATTGTGGGCTCTGCACCTCCCCTTGCTCCTCACTGCAGCTCAATCCCCCCAAACCATCAAGAGCAGGAAGGTGTATGTGGCAGGGCCCTGCCTTTCTACATGTAATACATCCACATGTGCTCCAGGAGATCATAATGATTTTGTAATTGTGTATAAAGAACAAGAGGGAATAGTGGTTGGCAAAAAAGAGAAGAATAGACTGAAGAGGGAAAAAGGTAAAAGGGGAAATAATGTCAGCCCCTGAGAATGTAAGAAACTCAACTATTACTCCTATGTACTACAAGAGGTTACAAAAATACAGCAATGGTTTTTGTTCTCTGCCATAACAACGAAAGTGAACCATTTTCTTTCTTAATGGTGCAAAGTCACTCCATTTTATACAAGTCCTGCTCTTCAGAAAATGCTAGAAAAGTTCTGAACTCTGTTAATTATTTACTATTTCCAACTACAATTCAAAGATTTGGGAATGCAGTTCTGTACAACTTGATCTCAGACTGTGTTCTCTAGGGTGTCATAATGTTCAGGTTTATCTATTTCACTTACCTCCCACACATATCTATATGCATATATATACACACAAAACTTAATGGCTTATGTGGCCATTAGCACTTTTTGCATGTGCAGCATAGGGCAGAGAATCCTAGACTAGATTTAATTTAATTAATTCAGGTCGTAATGGTAATCAAGATATGATAGTGGGGAAAACAGTCTTTTTGAAGACAGAGCTGTCCATCATCTTTGGTTGTATTACTGTAGCAGGTGGATAGTTTTGGATGGAGCTTCCACTTGCTATTTCTGTACCAATATTAAATTAAAAAGGGAAACTAGTAAGTTGTTTTTCAGATGTGAATCTGAAATCTCTGTTTTTGTAGTCATCACTCCTTTTGCGAAATGTATTACTGCAAAGGAAAGAAATTCTGTTTTTGAACCAGACAGTGGATTTAAGAAAATGCCAATATCTGGCTGTTACTATAAAATCCATGATAGAATAAAACCCATGGGAAAAAAAAAATAGTATCTTATTTAATCCAAAGTAAAAACAACTATGTTGTTATTTTATCTGAGAATTGTAAATTATCTCAAGGTAAAATTAGATGCATACACTCCTCCTCTTATTTTACTGCTATGTGGAAATAATCAAGTCCAAATTTTTTGAACCATTTCATGTTTGTTATGCAGTTGCTGAGGGCTTGGCTTGGTATGTCCTAACACAGCCTGAAATGGGAGCTGCTGAGCATCTGTCTGTGACAATTCAACCTTTTAAGGTGTTTCATGCCTATTATCCACATGGCACCTCTGAAAATCTTATCTAAAAAGGGGTGGCCCAGTGAATGTAGAAGTCCTTCCTGAAGTGCCACTGAATTATCACTTCTTAGCTATTAGACCCTTTCCTTCCTGTGTCAAAAGCTTGTGAAATATGAAAGCAAAACAAACAACAAAACCCCATGGACAACCAAATAGCTAGCAGTTTTCTAGCTGTAAACCTTCAATATTTATATGAGTTTTATTCATGTAGCATCTCATAATATGAGCCTCTGAATGTGTAAGGTACAGACTTTTCACACCTTGTGAGACACAGAAACGTTACGATCTCTGTTTTACAATGGGAGAGCTAAAGTTCAGAAAAGCTGGCTTTCTTTTAGTACCTATGATACTTGCCCTAATAAAAATGTGGATAGATACTTAGTGGAATTATTAAATTGCTTAGGCGCCTAAAACACTCAATGAGTTTGCAAATCCCATGACTCCTCTGAGACCTTTTTAAGCTGGTTCTCTAACCACTGAGACCATCTTTTGTCTCTGAATTTTTAAGCTATGTCTGTAGATTTTATATCATTACAATTTTGCAGGCAGTCCAGCGCCAACTAGAAGAATTGGAGGAAAGACAAAGAGCTCTGGAGATTTTTGGTGTCAAATTGGAGAGAGAACTAAGAGGAGAATCAGGTAAATAAAACAGCATTTGTTTGTTTAGTGTTCATTTTTTTAACCCTTTTCAAAGCAGAGGGGTTTTAATAATTGTCATGGAAACAGAGTTCAGTGCAAAAACTGAAATGAAACAATAACTGAGAGGACAAAAAAAAATCATTGTTTACCCTTTTCCTCAAACTTTGTTAGCTCAAGCACCTTTACACTAAATGCTATAAATTTTCTCTTGGATATCACAGATTTGGAATTATTTGCCTTGCTATTGAACCTAAATCTACATTTTTCCCCCCATTTTTTAAAATCCCATCCTAAGCTTAATTTCATCTTCTGGAGGGAACAAGTGAGCTGTATCTCAGTTATCAAGCCAGCAGCAGCCCCTGCCTAGTAACAGAGTCCTTAATGACTTCTCCCGGAGTGTGAAATGCCATTAATACGACTAGAGCCAGTGGCCATGCTATAGCAACAGCAGCACGCAGGCATATAGACCCAAACTGCCCAACTTCTGCCCCAACAGGGATGTTGTCCCAGCCTTGGTTGGAGGGAAGGTTTTCCCTCACCTGAACCACCAGTGCCGAGCAGCCGGGACTGCGTCGTCATCCCACTGGCCCAGCCTCGCCGCTGCTCCCCACTACGTGTGGGGGGAGGCTGGGGAGACCTCCCGCAGGGGGAAGGGACATCTGGGGGCTCCTGCCAGCCTCAAAATGGGGATGGGAGTGTGAACCATGCCTGGAAGGGACTTCAGAGGGGGCTGTGGTTCTGTGCTGAAAGGACTGTGGAGCTGACAGCCTCATTGCAAACGTGTCTTTATTTAACTCTGTTTTAGAAAGCTGAACCTCGTGCTTTCATGACAGCACTGAAAACCTAGATATGTTTTGACACCTGATCTTTTTGTTGTCTTAGCTAGGCAACCCAGCACAATCTCTACATGCTGGCTTGTTTAATGCCCTATTTCTTAGTAGTTATCACTCATATTCTAACACCAAACTAATCAGTTCAAGGAAGAGAGCATTTGCCCAACCTTTTATATTTATTAACTTATTTCCTATAATTGATAGTGCCAACCTATTTGAAATGTTATTTAAAAGGCTAGCATCTTTTTTCTTAAATGAAAATATAACCTTTTATCAAATGGTACCCACCTTACTGCCTGTGAGAAAGCCTGCTAAAAGACTTTGAGGATTTGGAGTGTTAGCTTTTTTCTTTACTGCTGAGTTGTATAAGGGTTGTTTTTCAGAAACTTCAAAAATATAGAGGGACAAGGGGCTTCTAGCTCTTGGGATAGACACCAAATACCAGGATAAATGGCCTAGAGCCATCTCTTGGTTTTGCTGTTTTGACAATCACATTTCCTAAAGAAGGCTGTCTGCCAAGAAATTGATGCTTCTCATTCTCTTCCCATCCTTAGTAATTGGATTGCCCTCATTAAGGTGAAAGCACTATTTTTTCTCCCTGTTGATTGTTTGTGTGTAGGTGGCTAGTTACAAATAGGGCAGATACTGAAATGTAGGATGTTACTGTCTCTCAATAACTCTTCTGGTGCGAAAGCACGAAGCCATAAGTTTCCCAAACAAAATGTAAGTGCTTTGTTGCCTGTAATGATATAAGTGTAATCATGCAGGAACTGGTGAGTTTAATATTCTGTTCAACCTTCTTAAAAATAATGAGCATTATTGTTTAATGAATGACCAGTGTTTATTAGGTTAAGTTGCATTTAAGCAGGTCTGCGCTTATGCAATTCAAGTGATTTAATAGGTATTATTAAGGTAATTAGAAAACGATCACAGTTCAGCAATAATATTGAGCTGCAAAGGTTGTGAATAACCAAATTTAGAGACAGGCCTGCAAACACTAGTCTTCAGTGACATTTACGCAACTCTCCTCTAATAATTCTGTAAGCCTGGGATGAATGGCCCCTTTGTTAGGGGGAGTTATTCATTAGCTCCTCAGCTGAATTAAAAGAGAACATGCGTGGGTGCGAAACAACTGCCATGAAGACTGATGAGCAAAATGAGGCTTTGATGATCTTCTAATTGTAGCGACAACAATTCATACATTAAAAAAAAAATTAAAAAAGAGAAATAATAGCAATCCTATGAATAATTTTTCATGCCCGTTATTCCCTTTATTCTGGTTCAAAATACCAAATAACAAATCACTGATATACAGTCGCTTTGTTTTCCACTGACATTTGTGGAGGCTTATGGAGATCTCCTGCCTACAGAAAATACAGAAATAAAAATCACAAAAACATGTTTTCCACTGAAATTAGCATAACTGATCAGTTGACTAAACAAATCCTGAAGAATGATGATAAAGAAGAAAATCTGTGTTGAGAGAACGTTAAGAAATCTCTCCACGTTTTGGAAGGTGAACAAATATCTGCACATGTTGTGGCTAGTTTTGGTTCCATAAGGAGCATATCCAAGGTTTCTCAGAACTTTAAACAGAATCAAAAGAAATCAGTTGAAAACCTGTAGAAATAAGGAATGTGAGGTTTAACTGTTTCTAAAAAGGTGCAAACTGGCCGAGCCCACTTTACTGTGTGACTGCTGTATGGAGAGACAGAGTAGCATCACCCTGGAGAAAAGAAGATTGAAGCTTTGAGAACAGCATTCAGTAAATATTCCTCTGCAGCCTGTCATTCCCTCAAAAGTGATGAAAACAGAAATAGCTACTATGTAATTAGAATAATATCTGACTTTCAAATGGGATCTAGGTTAAAGGAGACTTGGGTAAACCGGAAGGAAAGTTTTGCTTTAGCGACACTGCAAGAAAAAGCCAGCATGGCTCACAAAACCAACTCACAAATTGTTTTCCCTCTAACCTTTAAACAGATCTGTCACACTGCATTATGCAAAAGATTTCATTGGCTTCTTCTGCCCTTGGAAGGCATAAAGATCACCATCAGACTTAAATAACTGTTAACATCATTATTAGCAAACATTTGAAAATCTCAGGGAAAAAATGCCTCTGTGGACACCTGGGAGGCATTCTGTGGGATGCAGGAGGAAAAAAAAGGGCTATTTTTATTTCAGCTTGCATTGAGGAGTTTTGTAAAATGAGTAGGAGTTTTGTAAAATGAGTAGCATTTTTGCAAAGTGTGTTACTCTTTGCTCACCTTAATCAACCTATCATACACAGTTTTTTATTAGAAGACATACAGGAATTTTAAAGTGTAAAGAGGCAATGTTTTTTAAAAAAAAAAAAAAAAGAGTATTTTTGCCTCATCAATAAAACAGCAAAAAGGGAATAGTACCCCTCTGTGTCTGTGCAGATCACATGCCTACCTGCAATTGCAATGTTTTTACTGACAGTAAGATAGATCAGATTTTGATGATAACTTCTGATGGTGGCATACAAAGACCTAAGGCTCTGAATGCTAATGCTGCATCCCTGCATTGGATTTGTGAAAAGCCCCCACTGGCATGTCCCAGCGAGAACTGCTACAGCAGTCACTCTGAGAAGACATTTTTTATCACTGCCTGCTGACCTGGAAGATCCCACAGGAACATATCTATTACTGCCAAGTTTTAATGGAATTGGGCAGAAACTGGGCCGAGATTGCTCTGCCCTCTCCTGCTGTTTTATCTTCCTGTTTCATGGTGACTTCCGATTAGGGTCAAATTCTGTTGAGAAATCGCAGAATTGCACCCAAGCTATCATAACTTCTGTCCTCTATGTGGGGGCCCATGTAATTTTTCCAACACTGGCAGGAGGTGACCCAGGCTCTGTGGGATGACAGCAAATGTGCTGGTAATCCAAAAAACCCAACAATTTCCCTCCTGCTCGGGAAGATTGCTAAAGGGCTGCATTGGGTGAGATCATTACTGCCTGATGGAGACAGGTTTTAAACTGCTGTTGTGGAGTCAAATCCTGGCTCCAACGTTAAAGTGAGGGACAGCTGAAGCAGTAGAGGCAAGAGGAGAACTCCTGGGGCAAAGAACAAAGTGCATTTCAAAATTACAACAGAAGGGTATCAGAAATGCTGCTGAGCTGTCCAGGACTCTGGCTATATCTCCACTTGGTAACCTAGTTTAATGATACTCTTGTAATTGTCATCTCTGGAGCTTGAACCTGAGACCTTTGGGCTTAAATTTCAGTGCTGTCATCTGAAATAAATGTGCAGTCCTCTTAAAGTAGGAGAAACCACCTAAGTCTCCATCCACAGAAAATAGCCAGGTTGGTTTATGAGGATTTTATGCTTGGTTATCCAGCAGCATGATGTAAGGACTGAGGAGGAGAGCTGTGTTGCCCTGCCTGGTGGCAGCACCTCCTTTTGCTTTGTCCCAAGTCCAACTGTGCTGCCTCCAACACATGGCAGCAGTGTGGTGGGCTGTGCAACACCCACGTGCTGAGGCAGGAGCACAGGCTGGCTGTTGGTTTTATGCTTCTGAAGGGGTCAGTGTGTCACCAAAATTGTTGCCTCGACCTGAAGTAGTGTAAGATATTTGCTTCCTACAAGTGATCACTGTTTTGTGGCAACAGACAGCGGACGGGTAGAGCAGACAAGCAGACGTTGTGGGAGGTGTGTTTGCAGTGCTATTGCTACTGCTGTAATTCTGCATCAAAGGGTGGTGAGGTGGTTTTGTTTCGTGAAGAAAATGAATGGAAAATGTAAGGTAATGAGCGAGTTAAAAAGGACAGCGAGGAAAACAAATGCATATGTGCTCTGACTTGCCACTTGGAAACGCCCAGGGGTTCTTCATTGCCAAAGATTTTTGTACAGACAGCATTGTAGGAGCAGTAAAGGCCCTCACCTGGTGAAAGAGAAATCTGTCGTCCTCTTCAGCAAGGCAGAGGCAAGCTGTTAGCTCCTTGGAAGAAAGACTATCTCATGTTTCATGTCTGTATAGTGCCTACCAGTGATGCCCTGGCCCAAAGTGATAGTAATAACCACCCAGTAATAACAGATTTGTCCTGTCCCACAGCCTTTCCTGTCATTCAAAGCAGATGCAGATTTAGAGGCCAGCTGGTAAATGAATGGAAATTTGTAGAGGATTTGATTGTGTGTCTGATGCCCACTGGAAGCAGGGACTAAGTTGATACTTGCCCGCTTGTATATCCTGAAGTCCAATCCAGTGGGATATCCATTTATACATCGAGTTCAGCTGCTGGAGTCCAGAATCAACAGAGAAACTATGTTATCAAAGGCAGAACTAAGAGAAAGATAAAGTATCTGTTAAGAAAAGAAAGTCTATAAGATTATTTGAAAGGAAAAAACTGAACTTCCAAAGCCAAAGTGTTTTTAAATTGAATGCATCTTTAACTGCAATAAACTACAGTGTTCAACCAAATGAGACAATAATGTTATACCTAGACATTACTGAGGTAAATTACATACAGCAAAAAAATCTACACTTGAATTCACCTCAGGTTACAAATGAGGACTATTTAACATGAACTTAAGTGGTAAGAGCATTGGAAGGAAAGTAAGTCTCCTATTTTAAACAGATTCAGGCACAAAGGATGAAACTCAGATGCTACATGAATGGTTTGAACTGGTCCTGGAGAAGAATAAATTAATGCGTTATGAGTCTGAGCTCCTGATTATGTAAGTAAGGACAAGCATTACTACCAAAGATGGGGACGGGAGAGGGGAAAAGTATACTCACAGTACACCTGAATGCCTTGCTGCATGCTGCACTTTGAGACTGTCATGGAATAAGCTTACCAGAGTAGCTACAATCTGTTTTGAACACAGATTTTCAGCTGAGCCCTTCTTGTCCTTCCCTCTCACAGGATTTCAATTATTTCAATTCTGTACAATACTCTAAACCACCATAGCATAATGGTGCGCTACCTTTACATAATGTGGATCTAATGAACACTGGGGCACTTTCTCCTGTGGAAGAAAAACAGTCTGACAAGTTTATCTCAGTTTTTATTTGACATAGGAGAAAAGATCTAGGAATTCACTGCAGCAATGAAACAAGCAGATACACCAAGCAAATAAAAAACATCTCACATGCCACTGTTTGTGGTTGATGAAAACAATACTGGCTGTAGCTCCCCCACCTCACCTCCCTGAAAATGAACTCAACAAATAGGCAGAGGTGACTCTCGGCTATTTTCTCCGCTATTTCTGGGCAGTGTGGGAAGGCGATGAGAGCGGCAGCAGTCATTACTCACCCCTGGATTTCACACCAGTGCTTGTTGCCATTTATCATTTCCATATCAATCAGTCAGCCCCCTGCGCTGTGTGCAGAGCTGCAGCCCAGCCACTAGCTCCAGCTGCACCTCAATTTCTCCCCAGCTGTGCTGGTGCTGCCAGGGGCCAAATCTGTTCTTTCCCCTTCGATTGTCATTGGGTGTTGTGGTAGCAATTTTTCTTGCTCATACTGCCTGCAACACAGAGTTAAAAAGCAAAAGCAGGCTGCTTTTATCACTGCAGGACACAAAATGTTGTTGTCTGGATGTGTTCACACATGTTAACTTCCTTGCCTCAGGACCCATTGCTCTGCAGAGGGCCTGGCAGGGCCCTTCGTGTGTGAGAGCATGCAGTTCTCTCCAGGGTCACACTGTGGGTGCCACCAACAAAGTGCAGCTTGTTAAAGCCTGAATTGTTGCAATGTGTGAGGGAGCTTAATCTGATATATAATGCAAAAGGTGGTAGTGGTACTTCTGGTGTCACTGGGTCAATGTAGGCACCAGCAAAACATTTAGCCTTGACTGCCCATGAGGAAAAACTACTGGGTAAACAGAACACAGAATCTCTTGGTTGAAATAATATTAACATATATGTCTTCACTGGAAAAAAGCTTATTATTTAACATACCTTTTATTTAACCTAGAGCCCAAGAGCTAGAACTGGAGGACCACCAAAGCAGGTTGGAACAAAAGCTGAGAGAGAAAATGGCCATTGATGGTAAGTCAAAGGGGAGTGTATGCTCTAGCCTGCAGTGACAGACCAAGCCCATATGAGTCCCTGCTTGCTCCAAAAAGGACCAGAGTGTCTGAGGCTCTTCTGTGAGTGCAGCTCAGCCAACAGAATGCAACTTCTGAGATCTTCTCATCTGCCTTCTAGTGAAGACAGCTAAGCTAACCTGTCCAGTTTTACACTGAACTGTATCAGAAGCACTCACACATGTAATTCCACTAATTGTGCTGCGCAGGCAGCAACATCCAGTTAACCTGCCATAATGGGCAGCAATGGAAAGTAGTTTCTTCAACCACCTAAACACAAAAGAGGTTATCTGCTTGTATGTTAACTGTAGCATTATTGATTACTGCAATAGTTTGGAACTGCTTTTAGGTAGATTACATTTTCAGCTTGTCCTTTCATTTGGTATTAGATCAGAGAGCATGGGAAGGAGGAATGCAGGGGAGTTACATGGCACTGAATACCCCAAAATATCCTGTTGTGTTCTAAGCATGTGGATTGTAAGTGACGACCATTTTCAATACCTTTTCTCAAAAACACTCTCCATTTTCTTACAGGTACTACATTTCATGGTTGGGCTTTTTACCTTGTATAAACTAAATTTAAAATCCAGCTTAAATACTTTTACAAACAAGCACTGCTCCTCCTACCCCTTCCAGTCTAAGTTTTACTGAAAGATCTGCTCTAGATATTAGAGGCCTTAATGGCCAACTTTTAATAGCCCAAATGCAGGAGAAATTTTCCCTGAACTCTAACATGAAAAATAAAACTGCCATTGACTTAGTCATTGACCATTATATTAATTCAACCTGTACACCAACAGTTAAAATGCAAAGTGTAACAACAGAGTGATCTGGATTTTAACCTTTTGTTTTGTGATCTTTTAGACAGCCTTAAAGATGAGATTGATCTGAATGAAGAGGATGAAATTTTTACTGAGATGATGAAAGTGGTTGAAGAAAGGGACAAACTCGTGTCTACCTTAGAGGAGCAGAGAGTGAAAGAAAAAGCAGAAGACCAGCACTTTGAAAGCATTATGTTATCTAGAGGCTATCAGCTGGGCAGGATTTAAACAGCTACATGCAAGTAAACATTATTTCATCAATATTTGTAATCATGAAGATACAGTCTTCTTAAAAATGAAGGAATTCAAATCGAATATTAGTTTTTTGGGGAAACATGTTGGTTTGTTATCAAAAGCTCTTAAGCAGTTCTTTTGCTCATACTGGAGTGAGTCATTTCACTATCAGCTTAAAGGATCACTAAAATACAGAATAGGACTGAATTTACCTGTCTGATGGGCATCAGGGTCTGTGGAAGGGAAATCAGAGCTCAGTTGTTTTTTTTGAATTTTATTTTAATGCTGAGAATAGAGTTCCTGAGAAACAAGATGACATCTGAATCTATATGTAATGTTGTTAATATTTTGATACAGCAAGCCCATGTTGAACTATTTAAAGGTGAGAAAGCAAGCATCTTGTATAGAAATAAGGTTAATTTTTATTTCTGGTGGAGGAAGGGTCTAATAACGACATAGAAGCACTCATTAAAACTACTGTAAATGTGATGTCAGAAATTATTTTTCCAGGTATTTGTAAGTTTTAGTGCACTGCGTATTTTTGAATAAGAATTAAAGCAATATTAAATCCCTAAATTTTGTAAAATGGTAAGGGATTATCAAAAGACTGAGTACCCTTAAGACTGTTACATGCTCAAAAAAGCTAAAAGCTTTTGTATGTCACAGATTAAGGTCTTCTCTAAAATGTGCTAAATGATAATTTAAAAATAGTGATCCAGACTAACTGCTTTACAACTGCTTGATAAAATACATCACAAATAGTATCATAGGATGATTGGTGCAGCAGTTAAAGATCTCCCTGAGAACAGTTCCTGAAAAGGGTTGTAAAAGATGTTGAGTTTGTAATGTCAACATTTGATAGAGTTATGGGTATATTTAAACCAGATTTATTTTGCTACTCAAGAATATATATGCATATTTTTTGCTTAGAGGAACTAGCTCCTATCTTTTTCTCTACATGCATTTGTACATACTGGCAGAGCAGATGTCCAGAAATTCTCCTTAGTATTTGGTGTAATATGAGTACTTTCTTAAATCTGAGATAATTCTGCATTTTACGATTGCTAGTATTCCCAACTGTATGTATGATGCACTACATTTTCAAACTGAAAAAACAAGGAGAAACTGAAAGAGTATTTCTTTTTGAATGTCATTTTACCTCACCCTCTGAGAAGATTTGATGTTCTCATTATTTCACGAATGGTGCTAATTTGCAGCAGTTGCCTATGGTACAGCCAAAGCTAGAAGCATTCCAGTTACAAAAGCTTTAAACTAGAAAACCTCTTGGTAAGTACTTGTAGGGTAACAGACACACTGGATCCTGTCACAGTAATATCTGAATGATCTTAAGTTTTTGCTGTATTGGAAGAAATTCAAAATACCCTTTCTAAAGATAAAAGCAAGATTTTACTGTTGATCACAGATAAATAATATACCTCTATTGGTGCAAGGAATATACTGTTGTTCTGCAATATTTATGTATTTATATTTATTTATTAGATTGTTTAAAGAGGATAAGAGTGTCTGGTTACACTTTACAGTTTGGATGTTGTCTCTGATTTTGATTGATAAATGTGTATTTCTATCAGCTATGAATAGGTAAAGCTGTGCATAGTAGAGAGCTGGTAAATAATTAGTAATAAAATATGAATTAAGACTTTTAGACAATGTTCTCAGTTACCATAACTTGAAGGGATACTTTTAAAACATAGCACGTAGAGCTTTAACAGTATAATTTGTCTTTCACCACAGTGAAAAGATATAGCAGAATCCTCAAATTTGCTCCAATTACCATCAGACTTTTTTTTTTTTTTTCTCTCATTCATAGGCTAAGCATACCTGATCTTTTGATTACATTTTTGTTGAGATGGATTGCAGCAACCGATTTTTAAACTAACCCTATTATTTAAGATTGACACAAAGTAGGGACAGGCAGGGCAGCAATAAATATTTTAATTTTCTCTGTTGAGATCTGCTAGTATTTCCAGTTTTGTGGAGAAAATTTCTGGATTTTATCACTGTGCCCAGAAGCCTCATGTCATCCCACAGAACTAGACTGTCTAAAACATATCTACCACAGTTTTATGTAGAAAATGGAGAATCATAATGCTTTCAAGGTATTTTTAAAAAGTTTTATAGCAAACTTCTTGATGCTTTGCACAGAAGGGAATTCAGCAGAAACCTCCAGTTATATCAGTCAAAGACTGGGGTTTTTTTCACCTCACTTCTACAGTCTAAAAAGTCCATTCATCTTAGTGTTGCTGCTGTACAAAAAGGAAGAGGAAGGGCAGCCTCAGAGAAATATGATGCCCCTATTCCTGAGGAGGGGATTGCTCTCCTCTGCCAAAGTCCAGCCTGCTTGCCCAGGAGAGATGCACACACTGCAATCTGTCACATTCAGGATTCTCTGAATTCTATATAAGCCTTGAGATTTCAGTTTACAGTAGATACCTGTTGATTATAAAACCAAATGCAAAAGGGTGCTTTCCTTTTAGCTCCAAAGATTTACATTATTGAGAGTATCAGAGTCAACAGAAGCTGAGGACCGTCAGCATTTCATGGACCTCAAAAATATTCTTTGCTAAAAAGATATTTTACTGGATGCCATGCAGTTGTAAAACATGCTCCACTCAAAACTGACTGTGTGTCTGCTCTTGGGTGAAAAAACCTGTCAGGCTACTGTTACCCTGCCTGATATTAAGTACCTCACAAGATTACATCCAAAAATGCACCGTGCAAGTGATTTAGAAAAAGAATAAACTCAAAGACTTTTAAAGTAGGTCTTCATATATCATGAGAGTAGAGGAGGAAGGGAAAAAAAAGAGAAGCTATGCACACTGTTCAAATGTCAATTTAATATGGTTGGCTTGTAGTAGAAATGTATTTGAACATTGGTTTGGTTATGAGTCTTCTTGCTGCTCAATCGTTTCTGTAAATTGACTCACTAACAATAGATTTGTTCATTTTTAAGTCCTTGGCACTGTCATTGTTGAGTATAATGTGATGTGCTGGAATGTATTGACTAAGTCTAAATGGAGTAGATGTGAGCAATTTTCTATTAAAAAAAAATAAAATTATATCTCACTCTTTGAAGTCCCTGAATCATTTCCATAGTAATTTCTCTTCACTGATATCTACAATATAATAATATGTGTCTAGGAAAGATCTATAGGTAAAAAAAATATATCAATTTCTTAATTCATATACTGGAAAGTAAATCATACCGTCTTGCAGTTCACAAATTCATTTTGTAGTTTAGGAATGACACTCTGAAGTTCGAGGGAATTCGACAGTAACACAAGAAGTTGCAAACTCCATGAGATCAACAACTTCCTCACGTTCTTATGTTCCTCACATTCATCACCTGTTTTCCTTAGGCGTGACATACGAATTATAACAGCTCCTTGAAAACTTGAAGGAAAAGTGTCACTGTATAGATCACTAAGAATTGGTGATCAAAACCTTAATTGCCAATTTTCAAATTCCACTAATTTTACTTGTATTAGGTCATCTCTTTTTGTTGCTTTCTACCAGTGGGAGAGTCTTACAGAGCAAGACAGTGTGCTGCTTGATATGAGAGAAGTGGATAAGCAAGATTTGGGCTTATGTTAGTGCCTGCACCGTTGTCCGTTGCTCAATGACTCTGGACTGATTGGTGGTTCTCTTCAGAGGACAGGTGGGCAGCTGCTTCTCTTCAGAGGTCAAGGTAATTTTTGGCATATTTGAACTGAGGTTTTTCTTTTACTGTCACACCCTTTCCCTTCCATCTTGTGTACCTCAGAGGCAGATGGGCATGGTGGTTACTCCTCTGATAATACCACACATAATTTCTCAGGACTGCACAGGAATTACCTGCCTGCTGGATTTATTGGAAGATTTATTGGAAGTAAAATTTTTAACCATGCTCAAAACCTTACAGCCATGTTGACTTCTCACCCAGCTGGTCAAAATCTGGGGGACTCGGCTGACCCAGGAGCAGGATGGGGGTAGAAATACCACCGTAGGAATTCACCAAGGTAATTTGAGGCATTCCCCTCCTATTCACAGCACCCACACACCCACCCACCTCACCCTGTCTTCTCTTCAAAAGATCATAGGTCTAAAGAAACTCAATTGGACAAGATGTTCAGAAAATGATTTTGTAAGCCATTATTTGACTCAAGATCAATCCAATTGCCCCCAAGGTAAAGTAACGCCTCACTGATTTTTAGGGTATTTGTCCAGGTTTCTCTGGGCACAGGCAACAAACCTAGAGGTCTAGTGCTTTCTTTTTAGCCCAGTGCATGTCTGATTTCAACTAAAAATTTCACTTTAGTTTAGTAGTCTCTTTCCAGAAAGATATAATCTGTTTTCTTTCTTGCTTGAGCAAGTAACAGGATGTGGCTCAGCAGATTGGAGAGTGTGCACATCTTTTAAGACTTTGCTACTGTTAAGATCTAAAGCTGTCCCTGCTGCATTTTGCATGGACCATACATTTTTTGCATTGTTTATCATGATTGGTTTGCCATGTTAGCATGCAAATACTATCCCTGCATTCTTCATGGCAGCCACATCTCACGAACCTAGATCCTAGCAAATACTTCGTGATGAGTATGTTTTTTTCTGTATTTCACCCAAATCTCTCTGCTTAATATTTATGAACAAATTGTGGTTTCTTCTGTTGATTCTAATGAACTATGAACAGAGACCCTGCATGCCAGCAATGCACTTGCTGGAATATTCAGGTAACACAGATGTACAAAACTACAGGCACAAGTGAGGCTTAATAAGAAAAAAATAATATCGATTTTTTTCTAAAACTATCTCAAGAAGGCCAGATGTAAAAGCAAGTAAACTTGGCCCAGTATTTATAAATAATTGATGATGGAACAACATGCTATCAGAAGCATTAAATACCAGGATGATGTTCTCATCTTACTGAAAAGTTTTAAACCCACTTTCTTTCCTTTGAAACTTTCCCAATAATTAATCTCTGTGGCTGTATATATGTTATCTTTTGTCTTTCACGTACATTTTTCCTCATTGCATCTTAGTCTATCTCTTTCGCTTCTTGATGTACAACCCAAAATACACTGTACTTTTAAAGAACATGGTTGGAAATGCTCTGATACTTTTATGAAGGTATGTTAATTTATTATTTGTTGTATTATTTATTTAAAGAGAAGATTCTTATCCCAAGGAAGTTATAAGTTGAGTAGAAAGCATATATCTGTTTTGAATTCAGGCATAAGCATATGCTCAATCTTAAATTCATCTTGTGATCTGGAAACAAATTTATCCTCAAGTGTGAGTTTTAGATGGTGGTGGCAATGAAAATCTGGAGCCCTTCTACCCCTGATATTGATGCTTTGTACTGCTGTAGCGTAGCCACACTGAGATGGTCAGTCAACCCTGGGACTGTCTTAGCGGGTCTGAAATCACATGCAGCGAAGTCCTTTAGGATATATAAACTTTCTTGTATGGGTATGGAATAAGAGATGTGGATGTACAAATAAATGCCAGCCAGGTATGTCTGTGCTTTAGCCTGCTCCCTGCACTGCCTCGCCCAGCACCGTGCAGAGGTGGCCACTGCCTGCAGCCACGTGAAGAGGCATGGGGCTTCCCGGTAGAATTCAAAACCGCTCTTCTGCAGGACAGGGCGGGAGGCAGCTCGTCCTTCCAGGCTCCTGGGGTGCCATTGTCGTCCCCATCCTTACTGCACTGGAGGAGCCAGTGCCTGGCATGTCTTGCTCATGGGCACGTGCAGAAGTGCCAGGTCCTGCCAGAGCTCTTTTCTCCAGGTATTTTGGCGCACTGTTAGGAAAACCCCAATCAAGAAATAGACATTAAACGTCTACAAAGTAACCTGTATGGAAATGCCTTCTTTTCTAAGCAGGCTCTTTTAATGTGCTCATTATTACTCAGGGTGGGGCGGGCATGTTCAGCAGTTAACCACGCAGAATTGGCAGGTCAGTAGAAGGCTAACCGCAAGCACTTAGAAAAATAAAAGGGTAGACTTTGGTCAAGTTCTGTTCTTGTGAAGTCAGTGAAGGGTGTTACTGTAGGCAATCACAGCAATAGCAGGAAGTCGATAGAACATTTTTGAGAATTCCACTAATTCCACATCCGTTCTTTACATGATCAAACAGTCAGAAGACTAGAGCAGAGATACACCTAGGAACAAAATGTTAGGAGAAAACTCTAAGGCAAATGAATAATTTATTGCACAGCCTTTACCAGCTTGGCTGCCGCAGTGCTCTTTCTTACTAGCCTAGCCAGTGGTTGGTATATTAGGTTTCTACTTCTTTTGCCTCATTCATAAAGTAAGACTTTGTGATCATTCTGAGTCCCGTAGTAAAAGAAATAAACACCAGGTGTGCATGGACAGATATGCAGGTGAATAAGAATTATTTGAAGTAAGTGGATTTAGCCTTCTTTTATTGTCTGGTAAAAGCATATATGTGATCAGGATACAATTAATTTGAGCTACTGGTTGGCTCATCTGTAAGAACAAGGCGCTGACAGGGAGCATGGTGAGAGCTCTCATGGTCTGCTCCAGATTTCTATATGCCAGATGCAGTGGGGCCACCCTGACCGGCAGCCTGCTGACTACTGTGTCCTGTGCATGGGATCACGGAGCACGATCATGAAAGTATTCACTTATCAAATATTAAGTAGATTTAAAACCTAGCCAAACAAAAATCCCCACCGAATTTGTATTTCTGCAGCTTTTATTTGTGGTTAAAATACTGTATAAGTAAGAGCTAGGCATTTAAAATCAACATTCCTGTATCTGCCATAACTTAAACCTTACGCATATCTGTAAGGCTTTTTGTGCTGAATGCAATATTAATTTAAGGTCGTATGTCCATATATATTCCCAGATCAAAAGAAAAAAAAATTAGCATATGTGTAGTCCTAAATTTAAGATACGGGAAAAAAATTGTAACAATCCTCAGAGGAGAAACATTGTAAATGGAAAAACATTGCAATAATGTTATATCCAAAGAACTGCAAATAAATTCTGAAAGAAACCCATTAAAAAAACCCCAATGAACTTAAGTCTGTCTGTTGTTTTAGTCTTATTACTTAAAGCACACAATATTTGTGTTTCCAGATCCGATAAAGCTGATTTTAAACACATTAAGTTTAATTTAAAATTTATTTTCTCCCTGTGAAGTGAAACACCCATAGCTCGTGAGGCTATTAAATAAGTAATATTGCATTTGTCATTAATTTACATATGCTGACTGTAGTGAAATAGGAAAGAAAGATGCTAGGTCTTTTCAGCTATTTTGTGTGAGACTTGGCAAAGGCATGTTGAAATCCGAGTTTCCTGTACTGCACAATCCGGCACTCGTTACTGTTTGTGAGGTATCTGGCTTGTTCTTTCTGTCTTTAACACAAATGTAGTGGTACAAAGGCAAGCAAACTCGTGCTTGCCAAAATGCTGTCTCTCCTGCTATGCCCGTAAATTCCTATGTTGACATCTATGTATAGTCATTTGGGTCCAAATGGAGATTTAGTTGAGTTGTTGCTCTGTTTGTAAATGTCACTGATTCACATATGTATAAAAATGGCTTGATGTGTTTATTTCTCCTTCTTTTGAAATAGTCTTTTATTACGTTCTTAAAAAATATTCAAAACTGTTCATCTCCTAATCCATACGCTGTGTGAGTAGCACTTCTGTAAAAAGAGAATAATGTGTGAAATTTGGACTGTCTGTAAACAGCAGCCCCTGAGACAGCAGGCCTGATCAGTGCTACAAGCCAGAGAGCAAACGTAAGGAAAGGAGATTGTGCTAATGGCTTGGGTTCGTTCCTGCTTTTAACTGATGGCAGTATGGATAAATAAAGTTTTTCTCCAGGGCATATACTAACTACATGCAACAAATATGCATTGATGTCTACCCTTCATCAGCTAACCAATGTTACTGGTTTGTAAAAACACAACAATTATTTGCTGATTTAGAAATATCCTCATGGTAATTTCATTTCACTTATTATGCCTAATGGATAGCTAGATATTTGCATGAAGTGTGTGTGGCTTTTTGCCTGAATTGTTAATCGAGTGATTAAGTGGTAAGTGAAAGTAGTGCATCCAGATGACATTAATGGTCTTTCAGTCCTGGGTGCCTCCTGAACCAGTCACAGCAAATTATCTGTTTTAAAGACACTTCTCTCTTAAGCTATTCATCTGCAAATCAAAGTAGGGTTGGTATAGGCAATCTATCATCCTCAGTCACCTTTCTTTCCCACTGGCTTTTATACTGGTCTGACTACAATCACTGGATTCTTTTGTAGAAGGGGATATGACGATGCCCACCACCTCCGACCACAGACGTCGCTGAAACGTACAGGCAGAAGAGCTGCTCTGCAAAATGTGCTCAAGACTGAAATGTAAGCTGGAACTTTAACTGGCACAAAACTATTTAGTGACACTTTACTACTGCATTAGTTCTTTTCTATCGGTGCTGACCACAGGGTGCAAAACATCTGCCTGCAGCCACGACTCCCTGTCTTTCCAGAGCCTCCACTTACGATTAGTTACGGATGAGTTGAGCTGTCAGCTCTGTCCCGCCCGTCCACACCCGCGTTTAACTTCTGACCCCCGTGTTAACTAGCGCTCTCGTGCGTGTGGTCACCCACATGGGTGTGTTTGACCAACCACCCGAGGCAGCTCCCGCGGAAAGGTGCGCGGCCCTGTCCTGCCCCTCAGGCAGCCGCCCCAGCGCGGAGCGGAGCGCGGCCCCGCACCCGCGGCCCTCCCGGAGGCCCGGCCCGGCTGCCGCGGCCGGCTTTCCTCCTTCCCGGGCTGCGTGAAACGCCCTTTTCCAGAGCACTGAGGGCGCAGACCCCGCGGGCGGGTAGAAGGAGGGCCCTGGGCTCACGGGCGAAGCCCCGGAGAGGGGCAGGTAGGGGCGGCCGCTGGGCTGAGGAGGGGGCCGGCGGCGGGAGCCGGCCCTCCCCGACGGGCGCCGGGAGGGCGGGAGGGAGGGAGGGAAGGAGCGGGAGAGCCGGGAGAGCGGAGCAGGAGCTGCTTCAAATGCTTGAAATAATTCCGCTTCCGTTCAGAGCCGGGAGCAGCCTCCCACGGCATCGGGGCCTCGGAGCCCTCTCCTCCATCCCCGAGCGCCGCCGGCGGCTGGGCCATCATGGCAACCTCTCCCCAGAAGTCCCCTTCTTCTCCCAAGTCCCCCACTCCTAAGTCCCCCCCGTCCAGAAAGAAAGATGACTCCTTCCTCGGCAAGCTCGGCGGCACGCTGGCGAGGAGGAAAAAAGCCAAAGAAGGTAAAAGTTACGGGTTTGCACGTTTCCTGGGAGTTACCTTAAAATGGGGGGGGGGACGGGAGGGGGCGGGGAGGAGGAGACAGGGGGAGAGGAAGAGGCTCTGGGGAGCGGGAGGAAGGGGCTGACTGGGGAAGGACGCGCGGGGTGGGGTGGGCAGGCGGGCGGCGAGGGAGGAGCGCGCTACCGTGTCCCCGCGGCCGGAGCGGGCGGTGGCCGCGGCGACGCGCCCCGCTGCCAGCGCCGCACGGCCGGGGGACGCGGGCGGGCGCCGGCCGGCAGGCACCCCGCCACCGCCACCACCACGAGAGAAGCCCAGCTGGGCTCCGGCCGGGGGTGCCCGGGCTGGGGAGGGGGAGCGCTGCCCGGGCAGGGCCGCGGCGGCCTGTGGGCCCGGCCGCTTCACGCGGCTCCGGCCGCCGGTCAGGGCCTACGGCTTGTCCCGGGGCCGGGCGCTGCCTCGAGGGAGTGCTGGCCTTCGAATCGCGGTGCAAAACCCCCGAAACTTCATGCTCAGATCCTCTTCGACTCGGAGCGTGTTGCTTTATATTGATGTACAGCGCCGTCAATACACGTTGCTCTGAGAAACTCGTGTAATGCGCATGACTGACTTAATGTTTATAATCGTTCCTCAGCGGCTTAAAACTTAACTTCGTTATTCTTGTACTAAGCAAAAAACCTCTGCCTCAGGACTGTGGGCCTTTGAAGAACACTGAGCATGTACAGTCTGATTCTTTGTCCATACATGTGAATTAATATCCACCCCCTACAGAATTTGCTTAACTATGAGACAGAGAATTGGAATTTAACCTCGCTCACCGTTCACTTTCACAGCTGATATTAATTTAAATACAATGAAATTAGACCCAAAGTAACCGTTGCTTTAAAACAGTTTTTCAAGCAACATCACTGCTTGCAACTGTAAAGAAGAGTATTGTGCTCAGCAAACCCTTGCTTCTGATGAATACGTGGGTAATGAAACCAGGCACAGTATTCAGAGTAGCACCAGTGCTGCGGATGAGGATGGTACAACTCTGGCGAGTGCAGCCCCTCGTTCTGTAACTATCATGTCATCTTTCTGAGATGCATGGTCTTTCTTTTCAATTAAAATGCATGTTGCACGATTGTGATTACATTATCTGGCTTTTTCTGGTCATTACAGGTGGCCCAGAAGTTGATGAACTAGTAAATAATGGCAAACTTTTTGGTACCTACTTTTTTATTTTATTCTGTTAGAGTATTCATGAATACTAGCAGCATTGAACTAGCAACAATTTACTGTGATGAGTCTATACTGTAGGTATGTTTAGAGAGTTTTAATGTAGCCTATTTGTAGTAGATTTCGTATGTTCGGTATTATTATTAAACAATGGTGTTTTCCTCAGTGACAGATATTGTTAAGTCTCAGATCTCCAGCAAACTGTTAGAGGCAGCAGTTACTTTTTTCCCACAGTCTTGCAATCTTACAAAAAGATGTATTCTGTGAAATCATATCTCCTCTTGTATTAAATGTATTGACTAAAACTTGTACCGACCATTTCATTATCTCATCATGTTGATACCCTTTTGAAATTTTGGAACAGCATTAGTGTTGTCCTTGTTCTTTGTGTTTTCCAATTTTCTAAAGTCTGTTTGAAAATAACAGTGGTTTGGAGATTTTTTTTTTTTTTAAAATTTGTGAGTGTTATTTGCTGATGAAAGAAAAAGTACTTTATTAAATTCACCTTAATGTCCTTCTATCTTCTGCATGTATTTGTCACATTTCTTTAGTGGAAGCACATATAGAGTGAGATTGATACTATGCCATGTTCCTTTTTTTGTTTGATTTTAGGAGATTCAGATTACTTCAAAGCTGGTAAATCCTTACTGTGAAGCCTGACCTTTCAGGCTTCCTAATCTTTCCTCCACTAGAAATAAATACAGGTTTGCAAACTATTAATGAGCCACCTTCTTGCTGTCTATGACACACATGGGCTCCATCTTAAGCTGTGCTACCAGAGTTTGTAGGGCTCCAAGTGTATTTGGAGTTCAGCTAGGAACTTCATATAGGAGGTCAGATTGCTTGTTCATCTAGACTCAGTTCTTTGACTTTTTTCCTACTTTAATTGATCTATCTAGTGTCAGGTTTCGTATAGAGACAGATCTCAGTCATAGGAGTGCACGTGGTTATTCAACTGCTAACACACACACTGTATTAGAAAATGTTCAAGTATGAGTCATAGGCATTTGAAAAAAAAAATGTTTTTTGTACTGGCTATATTTAGAATTTCTACTTTTGTAAACTAGAACGAAGTACTCTTGAATGGCAGCTTTACTCTTTCTTCATACTTTTTTTGTAGAACATCAGGATCTATTTTCTAATCCAGTTTGTTAGTCTGATATAGATACCTACCTCATTTTGTTGTGAATGTTGGTCTCTAATCATGTAAGGTCTCTAAATACAATGAACTGTTAGTAACTCCTTAGAAATAACACTGTGTTTGTTTCTGTAGAGGGTATTCATTTTCCCTTTTACCTACTTAGTTTTGTGCTGTATGTTTTTAATATTCCAGTAGAATAAATGCACGTTCTGGATTTCACCTATGTCAGTGTTTCTTCATGAGGCAACAATTCTGGTTATTCCAATTTGTTGTTATCTTTAATGTATGGGCAGCACAACAGGCATTCTTCTTTTAGATGAATGTAGACTATGCAGAAGATGCCTCTGTCATCACATTCTCGTGATCACAGGGTTATAGGCCTGGCTAGAGCTACCATGGCTTTTTTCCAGCCACACACCTTCAGGGGCTACCAAGGGGCTCCTGCACACACACCTCTGTTTTGTTCCTCTGCTGTGTGCCCCTCTGTGTTAAGCCAGACCATGCTCAGGGTACACACCTGGAATCAAAAACTTGAGACCATACCTGGGTCTTACAGCTTAGTGATAGGTCAGGAAAGTCAGTGGGACTTGCTATGCTTATGGTAAATAAGGGGCAACTGAAGATTTCCCTATCTTTCTGTTGGTATAAGTTCTGCTGCTACACTGCAAGGGCTAAGAATTAGTGTTTTTAAATAATGCAGAAATGTTTTATCTGTTGTAGGAAGTATACTAATTACATTTTAATACTATCTGTGTTACCTATGTAGTTAACTGCTGTAGATGTTATACAATTTATACGTAAGTTTTTTGTATTTATGCCATCATCAGGCATTTTGATCATTGTCAAAATGGTATTTTTTATATATTGCAACAGTAAAGCCAGTGCCAAAATGCTCCACCAAATGAAAATCCATTAGGATCTAAAGTGACATTATGGTAAAGAGTAATACAGATTATTTATTAAGATAGTAAAGTCTGTGTGGTTTCAGATGTAGCAAAAGCAGGTTATAATATAACATAAAATGGATTTTCTGTAATAACATTAACTTACATGTTTAAATATATATAAAAATATATAGCAAGCCTTTCCTTATAAGCTTCAAAGTTCGTGGCAGTGGTAAGTATTCCACCCATGTTAGAGATGAGAATAGTCTGGACAAGTGAAATGAATTCTCTCGTATCACAGTACAAGTTGTTGACCAAAACAGAGAGAGTAACCCAAGATACTGTTACTTGATATATCACACATGATGTAAGCAGAGATTAGTCATACATTGACATATATTAATCTGGAAAATACATTGTCATTGACTATTAGAGAATATTTCATAAAATCTGAAATTTGGAGGTAAAATTTACTTAAGTTGTCATCTATCACATAGGGTCTTAGACTGGTTTTCATTTACAGTATCTCATCGCCATTGGTGTAATTTAAGGATGAGAACATGGTACTTTAGTCTTTTCTGTGAGAGCATGAGCAGCTGCATCTTTAAATAGTATATAAATTCCGTTAAGGTAACAAAAATTACAAATGATTAATTAGCTTTTTATCTAATAAAATTGTGAGATAATACTAGAATATTTCATGACTTGTTCACAACCGAATTGTCATATGCAAAAGTTACTTGTCGTTTATAGTAAGATTTCATCCCTTTCATTCCTGGAAAGCATTGAAAGACTGAGCCACCCCATATATGCTACTAGAGGATTCCAGTCCATATCTGTCAGGAGTTAAGGTGCATGGTGGAGCTCATCACATTTGCAAAAATCAACCACAAATTAAAATTTTATGTAAATTCCTTATAGTAGTCTGCATTGTGTACTAAACATATGTTCATACAAGTGCAAGGAGAGAACAGAATTACCTCTTTTTTTTAGATGTAGGGGTGCATGTTGTGTTATCTTATGAATGTTTCATTGTGGGTTCAGTAAGGTCATGTGTGATTGTCCTTGAGTTTTCCTGGCCTGGCAATTATAGACACAGAAATTTCACTCCTCCTAATAGCTTACCTTAGTGGAGAATCTTAAGAATTGGCCCCTGACATGCTAATAAATCTGTGACACATTTGGAAACAGAGAGCAAAGTTCAGAATTGCTTAAATTGCGTAGGAGCAGATGGTAAACAGGCAGCTTGGACCCATGAATTTGGTAGAGAGCAATTACTGCTCATTGTACGGGCTTAGTGGGTTTTCCAATTGATATGACATCAATTTCAGTAATTTGGCTGCTCTTCTGCCTAGTTTATTTGGTGTTGATGGGCAGGAGAAAGAATGAATTTTCTTCTAGCTTTGGCTTATGATATTTCTTCTTTTGTATGTCTTGTTTTGATGTAATTTTGGTATGTGAGGTCATGGTAGGCCATATTCTCCGTATGCCTAAGGGAAGAGTATGTTAACAGTCTAAAATATTGTAGATTCTGCTGTTTCCTGATAATAACCTTAAATTTATTCATGTTTACTTTGTCACCATCATGCATTTCACAGACTAATATGAAATTAGAACAAATTAAAAATACAAATTAAGAGTAAATGTAGGCTGATGAGAGCTTTTCAGGTGTTCTAAATAAAATTTTTGTCTTTCTGGAATTCATGACAAAAATGCCTTGCTGTGTGACTCACTGACAGAGAGATCATGCCTTGGTCTG